CACCAAGAGGCCTGCAAAAGTCTCTTAGACCAGCCTCATCCACCAGGGGCAGACGGCAGAAGCAAGAACCACCACCCTGCACACAGAAACCACAATTATAGAAAGTTAGGCAGAATGAGACAGGAGGATATGCTCCAGATGAAGAAACATGATAAATCCCCAGAAGAACAACTAAGTGAAGTAGAGTCAGGCAATCTACTCCAAAAAGAATTCAGGGTAATGATAGTAAAAATGTTTTAAGATCTTGGAAAAAGAATGGAGGCCCAGACTAAGAAGACACAAGAAATGTTTAGTAAAAAGCTAGAGAATCTAAAGAACAAAGAGAGATGAAAAATAGAATAACCAAAGTGAAAAATACACTAGCAGGACTCAGCAGCAGAATAAGGAATGCAGAAGACTTATCTGAGCTGCAAGATGGAATGGTGGAAATCACTGCCATGAAAAAGAATAAAGAAGAAAGACTGAAAAGAAAGAAGACTTCTGTCATAACATTAAACACAAAACATCCACGTTATAGGGGTTCCAGAAGGAAAAGAGAAAGGATGTGAGAAAATATTTGAAAAGATAATAGCTGTTAAAACTTCTCTAATATGGGAAAGGAAATAGTCACTGAAGTGCAGGAAGCAGAATCCCAGGCAGGATAACCCAAGGGGGAAAATGCTGAGACACACAGCAATCAAATTGACAAAAAGTAAAGACAAAGAGAAAATATCAAAAGCAACAAGGGAAAAGCAACAAATAGCGTACGACGGAATTCCCATAAGGTTAGCAGCTGGTTTCTGAGCAGAAACTCTATAGGCCAAAAGGGAGCGGCACAACATATGTAAAGTGATGGAAGGGAAGAACCTGCATCCAAGAACACTCTAACCAGCAAGGCTCTCATTTAAGTTCAAAGGAGAAATCAAAAGCTTTACAGACAAGCAAAAGCTGAGAGAATTCAGCACCATCAGACCAGCTTTGCAACAAATGTTAAACGAATTTCTCTAAGCAGGGTGAAAGAAGGTCACAACTAGAAACAAGAAAATTATGAATGGAAAAGCTCACTGGTAAAGGGAAACAAAATACAGGTAGGAAATCATCCACAGAAATATGGTATCAAAATCAACAATTGTGAGGAGAGTACAAATGCAAAATATTGGAAACGCATTTAAAATTAAAAGACCAGCAATTTAAAACAATCTCATATATATATATATAGACCACTGTATCAAAACCTCATCGTAACCACAAACTGAAAATCTACAATAGATACACAATATAAATAAGAAAAAGGAATGCAAACATAGCACTAAAGTTAGTCATCAAATCACAAGAGAACGAAAGAGGAAGAGGAGAAAAAAAGACCTACAAAAACAAGTACACGACAATTAACAAAATGGCAATAAGAACATACATATCAATAATTACTGTAAACATAAACAGATTAAATGCTCCAACCAAAAGACACAGGCGGGCTGAATGGATACAAATTTTCAGTGGTAAAATAAGTACATGACAGGGGATGTGATGCACAGCGTGGTGACTAGTTAATACCTCCATTAAGAAAAAAAGTGATTAAAAAAATAGTAAGTTATTGGTAAAAAAGAGAATGAACACATCTATCATCTCCAAGTTTGCAGTCCACCTCTGCCCCCCACCCCCCAAGCTCAGCAACCACTGATCTGGTGTCACTCAAGTTTGCTTTTCCATACTATGGAATCAGAGTATGTACCTTTTGACTGATTTTTTTTCCACTGGGCAGTTATTTTAAAATTTATCTTGTATCAATAGTCATTTCTTTTTATTGCTAGGTAACATTTCTACTAGATCACGGTTTGTTGGCCCATTCACCTGTTGATCCACCTTTGGGTTATTTCCTAAATATTTGGCTATTAAAGCTGCTATAAAGTTTTGTATGTTAAGTCTCTGTGTGAACTTGAAAGTCAGTTTCGCTAAGTTAAATCCTTGGCTCACACATTCTTTCCTTGAGTGTTGCAAAAGTGTTCTCCATTTTCTCTTGCACTGATCACTGCTGTTGAAAAGACGGATGATAATCTGTTTCCCTTGTAAATCACATGGCTCCTTTTGCCTAGATGCCTTAAGGATTTGTTTTAAAAGCCAGTAATTTCACTATACTTAGAGGTCTTTTGGCTTGTGAGTCTGGGTTTATATTCTTAAGTATAAGGTATACTCTCTCAATACGTAGTTTCAAAGAGAGTTCTTGAATTTTAAGGTAGTTTTTCTTTAATCAATTTTTAGTATTTGTTCTGATTTCTTCTGGACTCCTAATATTCACATTTGATCTTTGCCTATCTCCACTTTTTGTCAAAATCTATTTATAGCTTCATCTTGGGGGGATTTCCCCTTCTTTTCACATTATTTATCTTAAGGCATTATTCTGTTGTTTATTTGCTCTTACACTCCTTCTAAATTTAGTCTTTATAATTTTACATTTCTTTCTTAAGTCCTGTCACTTCATTTTTTCTGAATTTTTCTAATTTTGATTTATGCTATTTTTTATGTCTTTTGTCATTTAAAAAGTCTTTTTAGCTTGATTTGAAATAGATGACAACTGATTTAATTTTTGTCGGCATGTCTTTCTTTCACTGTCTGTAAAGGTGCTATTCTACATATTCTGTTTCCTAAAGGAAAATTCTGTATATGATTTCACTTCAAATACTTTTCTGGTATTTTTATGTGAAATTAGTTTTCCTGAGGGTGAGGTTCAGGAAAGCCTTCCTAAGTTCAGAAGTCTGTTTTTGTGTAGTGTTAAGAAACGTGACACTTGCTTTGGGGATTTTAAGACTGTGTTCCTCTCACCCACTTTGGTCTAAACCCTTCATTCTGTGTCTTTCTGGCTCTGTGTCCCTCTGCTCATGAGGGGTACTGCTGAAAGCAAGTCCTGCAGGTTTTGAGGGCCAGATTTCCCCAAGCCCCCCTTTTTAGTCTTTCTTATGGTGGGTCCCCTGCACTCATTTGGATGAGACAGTGCAAGCCCACTCCCCCAGTCAGTTCTCCAAAGACACACAGATGGCCAGCAAGCACGTGAAAAGATGCCCAACACCATTAGTCATTGGACAAATGCAAATTAAAACCACAAGCAGGTACTACTTTACACTCACTGGGATGGCAATCATCAAAAAGAACAGGAATGTTGGCAGGGATGTGGAGAAACTGAAACCTTCATACCCTGCTGGCAGGAATGTAAAATGGTGCAGTTAATTTGGATAACAGTTTAGCAGTACTTCAAAAAATTAAACAGAGCTTCCCTTGCTTGGCAATTCCACACCCAGGTAGTTACCCAAGAAAATTAAAATTTTCACAAACTTATAAACAAATGTTTGTAAGACTGTTATTCATAATGACTGCTGATGAACAAAAATGAAATAAATGCAAAATACAATGTGTATACTCACACAGTAGAATATCATTCAGTCATAAAAAAGGAACAAAGCAGTGATATATGCTATGATCTGGATGAAACCTGGATAAACCTTGAAAACATGCTAAGTCAAAGAAGCCAGTCTTCTGTGGACTGTACTGCATAATTCCATTTACAGACAATGTCCAGAATAGGCAAATTCATAGACAGAAGCTAGATAAGGGTTGTTGAGGGCTAGAGGTAGGGTGGGGTGGAGAGTGACTGGTAATGGGGTTTCTTATTGAGGTGATGAAAATTATTTGGGTATTAATGGTGAGAGTTGTACAACTTTGTGAGTATACTAAAAACTACAGACCCCTTTATGCTTTAAAAGGGTGAACTTTATGAGTTTAAAATGTTACAAATAAAAGTACAAAATCCCTGTTTTCAGACAGCGGTTGTGGGCCAAGTGGCCAGCTATGCTTCCAGCGAACACCTCCTGCTCTTTGTGGGTACTCCGCAGGTGTCACTGGAAGGTGCTGCTCACCGCTTACTTCCTACTCTTGCTCACATGCCAATACCACACAGTCTTGGTGTTGTGGATGGTCCATCCCTCTTCACTTGTACTTTGGAGTTCATGGAAATACCTTTTACCCAGTTCTGTTGTTAACTACTGCTCAGGAAGTTTTGGTTTTGCTGCCTAAGTTGCTCTGTTCGTTTTTATGCAGAGATGTGGAAGACTCAAGCACATGATGTCATTCCCTGCCATCTTTCCAGAAGCCTCTAGGCCTATTCAATGTTACGACTTAGTCAGCGGATGTGGGTCACAGGGTCCCAAGTGACAATAGCCACAGACAGGCTCTTGGGGCCTTGAAGGCCGGGCAGGCGGGGCAGTCCCAGAATCTGAGAACTGCGCAAGTACAGGGTTAGCGTGGGGCTGCTGACTTCTGTCTGGGTAGCTTTCGCCAGTGCTGAGGCCATCTAGCCTGGACGGTTGTGTAGACAAGCAGCACGCGGGTTCCAGTGCTCTAACCCAGGACAGCACCTCCTGTCAGTCAGTCATCTGAGCCTCACTTACCGTCCATAAACTGAGAACAGGACTGGTGGCCTCGCGCACCTGTACATTTGTCAGCTCCTCCTCTCATTCACAAACATCTGTGAGCATTGCATGACAGACCCTAGAGGCTCAGGAACTGAGTCCCTCCCACCACCGTTCACAGTGCTCTCTTCGCTGTCTCAACCTTGCACAGGAAGCAGAGCGCCAACTTCCTGCGATGCTTTCTGTAACACCACTCAGGTCCAGGGGGCCCAGTGGTCACTGCAGGCCCTGACGACTTGCAGTGTGCGCAGCAAGGGCGGCAGGCAGGCAGGCTACGCGTGCCACCCTGCAGTGCCCTGGCCCGCCCTGACCTGAAGGAACCAGTGCCAGCACTGCTCTGGGCTGAATGAGGCAGGTGCAGCCTGGCCTCCCTGCATGCAGCCTCTGTCTGGCTTCAGCGCAGAGGCTCAGACCTGGTCTCCCAACTGTGTCTGCTCAGCACCCCTCGCATGGCCCAGCGCACAGCAGTGCCACCGCTCCTGCCATTCTCTAAGGAGTGAACAGCGGACACGGGGCGAGGTCGCAGAGCAGCCCCTACCCGCAGGCAGGGTGTGGACTTACAGTGTGAGCATTGTTGATCTTCTTGACTTCCCACTGGCCCAGCCCGGTGTAGGTCAGCAGGGAGATGGCTCCATCTGAGCTGCCGCAGGCCAGAATGAGGCCATAGTCGTGGGGAGCCCAGCACACAGAGTTTACTGCAGGAAGGAAGGAGACACAGTGAGCAGACTTTCATTTCCGAGACTCACTGTTTAACTAAATTTCTAAAATAAAAAAAAAAAACAGAAAAATCATAGGATCACCGTGGAGAAAGCTGTAATTTTGTCAGTTGAGTTTTAAAAAACCCATCACCTACTAATATCATCATCATAAACTAAAGCCTATCTTATAATCTCAGAACAAAGACCAGTACTTAAAATGAATAAACCTTAAAGGGAAAAACCAACCCACCAACCTCACTATGTTGTCTTTGCTTTTCTTGTTGTGCTGTGTACTGGCTTTAGGGCTGAGGACCTCACCTCTGCTGTGGACAGGCTGACAGTAAAGTGGCCCAGGCCCGGGGGGCAAACGGGGAGCCCCGGGCAGGACCGACCCTCCCGCCAGCCCTCCGCGCTCGCCCTCTGCCCGCACTGTACCCGAGGAGTCGTGTCCCGTGTGCTCGTGTGTCTTCTCCCACGTGCCGTTCTCCTCTTTCCAGATGATGACCTTCCGGTCGTAGGAGCAGGACGCGAGTATATTGCCATACATGGGGTGGGCCCAGGCCACCTGCCACACGGGACCTTCATGGCTGCAAGGCGAGAGGGTCAGAGGCTGTTCAAATGGGCAAAAAAGGAACCCAGAGCACTCTGCCAGCCACTACTTTAGACAGAAGTGAATGGCTTCTCAGGAGAGAACTGCCAAAGAATTTCAAAAGGGACAGAGCTGAGTAATGTCACTCCAAAAGCAACTTTCACTGGACAGTGAGGACCCTGAGGCTGAAAGCAAGTCGGCCCCTCTTTCCTGAGCCAGCAGAGACCCCGAGGAGGCTGTGCTCTTGGGCAGGCAGTAACTGTTTCATCTTAGTACTCTCCACTACTCTTAACTTTTTCAAAAGGCAGGTCTCTCTCTTCCCATCGCCGTGCATTCACCTGGCAACTACTGTCTGAGCGTGTGCCCTGTGCCAGGCTCTGCACTGGGTCCGTCCCTCAGAAGAGGGGGCGCCCAGCACCCAAGAGGTGGGCAGCACAGAGCGGACGGGACGGGCTCTCTCACACCCATTCCCCACTCGCTGGCTGCTCGACTTCAGGTCAGGGCTGTAGCCTCTCTTTGGCTTTGTCTGTTAACAGAGGTGTCAACGTGACTTCTTTCACACGGTGGTCATGAGGGAAATGTCTGTGATAACTCAATTAAGAGCCTGGAGCAGTGCCTGGCACAAGAAACGGGAAAAACACAAGTTCGACGCCTGTGAGCTCCGAGAGCTGCTCCCTGCTCACCCATTCATCAGGGGCTTCGGACACTCAAGAGCCCACCTCCCTCAGCTGGCACAGTGGTCCAGCCCCAGTCTCCACAAAGGAGCTGCTAGTGAAACTCTCAGAGACTCAGTCATGCTACAACAAGCATAGTGTTAACTGAGGGAGCAGAGAACGGGGCATGAATTTTTTACCCTCCAATCTTTCACGTACTTTGAGCAGAAAGGACCGAGTGACGTAGACACTGTGTCCAAGCCAGTACCGGCAGCCAGGCCTGGCCCTGTGAGCTCTCTGCTCAGCCAGGGGCCGCTGGGCAGGGAAGGCAGCACTGGGCTCCATAGTCACACAACCCCCGACCCCCAGGAAGAGCCGAATTTCTAGGCCTGTCTTCCTAAATGGCTACTGACTTAGCCATGCTTTCTTTAATCCGTTCACAAACATGTAGTGAGTATCCACTTGTCAGGGATTCTTAACCTCTCCTGTGTAATCTAGAGAGGCTATGCTATGATAATGAATAAAACAGAGTGAGTATTATAAATGAAACCCAGTTATACTGAAATAGTCATCAGAAAGTTAAAGAACTTATGTTATTAGTGATATACGTGCTTCTTTGTTAATACATTAAGTAACAAACTCCAGTGGCAAGTCTAATAACCATTCTAATTTCACAGTAATGATGAGCATAAGTGGTGTTCTGAGAAAGCTGCAACTGCAATGTGATATAAAAAACATCTGTGACTTCTACTGGTAACAAAGTGACAGGTGTCAGGGACTCTCCTGGTGGTCTAGTGGCCAAGACTTCGAGCTCTCACTGCAGGGGGCCTGGGTTCAATCCCTGGTCAGGGAACTAGATCCCACATGCCAACTAAAGATCTGCATGACTAAATAAAACAAGATCTTAAGTGGCGCAACTATGACCCAGTGAAGACAAATAAATATTAAAAAAAAAAAGTGACAGCTAGGTACCATGAATACTACTACTGTGGTTCTTGGCCTATGGCCATAATTGAAGGAAATGCTACATATCAGAATCACTGAAAATAAAGATGTGATTTTTTTCCCTTTCCCAGTTCACCATCCCCTGAATTCTACCCACAGAACCCTTGGAGATTCATGGGACCTGGATAAGAACCCCATCCATCTGAGGTAGTGAACTGAGAGGGAAAACACCAGAGTGTGGCCACAAAAAAAAAAAACCAGGACCTCAAGAATCTCCACAGGGAGAAGGGTAAACCAAACACCTGTAAATATTCACTGAGTACCTGCCAGGGCAAACAGGCCCAACTGTGGGATCCACATAATTACTCTTATATCCTGAGTCACTTTAGATCATGTGTGCTGAACGTGTTTTAAAAGGAAAGGAAAAGGTAGTTTCCCACTTACACAGCAGTAGCCACCAAAGACTTGAGCAGGCCCTGCCCAGGTGGAGGCTGCCCAGCCTGTGTCGGGGGTGAGTGGGTGAAGACGGAGGGGTAACCTGACTCTCACCCCAGGGCTGTCTGTGGGGTCTGGACGGCAGAGGTGAGACTGGCTCCTGGCCCCATTAGCCCGGGACGCCTGCTGAGGCAGTCAGCTGGCTGGGACCAGGTATCCTCTCCGCTAACCACACCAGGGGCTGCTCTGATCTTGGCTCTCTGCTCTTCCTGCCACATCTGAGAAACCCAAAAGTTCTCTGAGGCTCTGTCCTGGGTCGGCGGCGCTTACCCTCTGAGGTCGGCGACGAGGATCTGCCCCCCGTTGCGAACGTCGAAGATCTTGACGGACCTGTCTGACGAGCAGGTTGCCAGGCGGGTGCCGTAGTAGTCCATCTGGGCATCATGCTGCAGAGGGAGGACAGGGCCTGAGATTAACTGAACCTCAGAGAATCATCACTACCCGGCAGGAGGCTAGCTTGGTAACATTCTCACTTCTCTCACAGGCAATTTCCTTCTGAAAGGGACCAGAGACACCACACCCAGCTGCTTTCAAATCCTTCACAGCACAGGGAAGTCCTTCCAATCCCGATTGGCAGGGGGGTGTGGGAGGAAAGGAGCTCGTGCGGCTTCCCTCTCCTTCCTCCCACCCCACTATCTTGAGGCTCCATATGCTACCAGGGAGGTTCAGCTCAGTGCCAGAACCTGGGGCTAAAGCCGACTTAGAGAAGCAGGCCTCTGACTACGGCGGGACCCAGTCAGGTCCTCCACAAAGCACGTCTGGCCGGGACACAGGGTTCCATTCGGACATTTGGGCTCCTTCCTCCATTCATGGCCCTGGATCCTCTGTGGGCCTTTGTTCCTGGGTTTCTATCTGACCTTTTCCCCAAGCAGTGTGCCCAGGACCCCGAACTCTCCACCCAGCACTTCAATGTTGCTGGTCCCACCACTGATGAACCGACTTCACTGGGGCTGCCCTCCAGGGCTAGGCCCTGCCCACAGCTCCTTGTCCATCTGGGGGATGGCTCCTCTGAGCCCATCTGCCTGCTGCCTCACTGAACTTACTGGCCCTCATGTTTGCTGGCCCTGCTATTCCAACAGATGACTTAACTTCATTATTCTACCTTTGGGGTTTCAGGAACTATCAGCTGTCATGCTGTGGTCATCAGGAGCAATTACATCCTTTCAAAGGGAAGCAATTATTCTGTCTGCTTAGACATTTTTTTCTCAAATCCATACCCAAGGAAGACATCCTGATTCTTCTTGGGAAGTCAACCTTCTCCACCACTCCAGGTCTTGGCTTCGTGGAAGGCGGGCAGGACAGGTGCTAACACAGATCTTTTCTGTAAGTATACTTCTGAAGCACTGTTCCTGCAGAGTGCTGTCACACACTTTGGGAGGAAGCAGGGCACAGAACCGAGACTTCAATCCTATCTCAGGTTATCTGCCATGCAACCTCGGGAAAATGTCCCAATGCCCTGGAACCTTAGTTTCCTTGTCTTTAAATGGAGCTAGCAATGGCCTCAACTTCATGAAGGTTAAATGAGACACTGAAGGAGCAGTATTCAGCAGGGGGTGTGACGTGCCAAGAGCATGCAGATGTTCCCCATTACTACCCTGTCTCATCTGTTCCCCAAGATGAACCCGCCCAGAGAGGGGACACATCCATGGCATTTCCCATCTCAGCTATGAGGAAATCAAGGCTGGCTCAGAAAAGTTAGATTGACAAAGGACCTCAGATTGGACTGTCTTAAAGTTAAGATTGACTAGGGACCTCACATTGGATGGTCTTACCCAGGTGCCACACTGCCTCCAAGGACGACCACATTCAGGAAACCCCTCAGAAGCCCAAAAGCAACATCTGGAGGGAGGCTGTGAGGGCAGGACGCCTGGGATGAAATGCTGTAGGTTGACTGACTTGGGTCTTGTTCAAGGCTTCCTGGACTCCTTGCCCTGCATGAAGCAGTCTGTATCTTTGCTGGAGACTTTAACCTCTGGACCTTCTCCCACAGCCCTGTCCTCTTACATAAGCCAAGTGTTCACCTCTTAGGACACACCCTGAGTTAATGACTTCTGGTTCAAAGAGCACTATCTGGCCCGCCGTCTGTGGTGGTCCTACCCGGCTCTGCCTTTGTATTGAGTCATCTTCCTATTTCCTTTTTTTTTTTGGTCACATCACGCAGCAGCCAGAACTTTCCCAACTAGGGGTCAAACCTGTGCCCCCTGCATTGGAAGCATAGTCTTAATCACTGGACGATGAGAGAAGTCCTTATTTTTTCTTCTTTAATCCCCTTTTCAGTGGGGCCAAGTGACAGCAGGAGGAAGATAGCTGGGAAGACTATTTCAAACCTGTGCACCCACTTTCATCCCATCCCAGAGCCAGTTACTTTTTTGGCCAGGGGACTAAGTACCCTGAGCTACAAACTGTTTCTTGGTTTCTCCTGACACACAGTGACCAGACTGTCACAGCCCTGTCAACTCAGAGGGCCTGCTTGGAGACTGACCATGCCCCTGAGGTTACAGCCTGACTGGCAAAGGCTGCAAGGCCACACTGTATTCAAAAATCATCAACAGAGATGCCCATGTCCTCAGCATGTGAGGAAGGGCTAAAGGAATACTTACAATCATGTCCTCATGGGAAGTGTCCACAGTGTTAATTACTGACACCTAAAACCAAAGATATTGTTGGTAAATGAACTGATGGTAGTTAGAATGCAATCATCTCGTTAAATCCACCGATCACTTTTAAAGTTCTTGACAGCATCTGATCATTCATTCATTCAGTAAACATTCACTCTAAGTGCCTTCGCTGCACCAAGCACTGTGCCAGGGACTGGAGACACAAACACAGAAGAGAGGTACTTCTTGCCCCAGAGAAGCCTCTATGGAAGCAACCCCAACAAGGCAGAATGAATATTTTCATGGGGTTAGGATGTGCAATAGCAGTCTGAAGGGCTGGTGGTGGTGGACAAAAACTGGGGCTCCGATGAGGAGGAATTTGGCAGGTGGCTTCCCTGGTAGCTTAAGAGGGTAAAGAATCTGCCTGCAATGTGGGAGACCCAGGTTCAATCCCTGGACCAGGGAAGATACTCTGGAGAAGGGCATGGCAACCCACTCCAGTATTCTAGCCTGGAGAATTCCATGGACAGAGAAGCTTGCAGGATACAGTCCATAGGGTTGCAAAGAGTTGGGCAAGACTTGAGTGACTAACACATGGGGAAAAAAGTACAGTCCACGAAGAGGGAATAACATGAGCAAAGATCGGGGATGGTGGCATGGGAGGTCCTGGCTATGCTTGAGGGTGAAGAGGGACTCCAAGGGAGCTACAGCTGGACTATGGAGCATCAGAGGACAGAGCCTCTGATGTTCCAGGCAGTTTCTTGCATAACAGGATTTTCACCTGAAGACTTTGATTAATTGATTCAATTGATTCTCTTGAGGCTTCTCCCTGGTCCACCACCTGTGACAGAGTCCAGTTCGCAGGGCTGGAGTATAGTTACCATGGTCATCACCTTCATATCCATTCTCTGAGGTTCAGCTCAAATTATGACCACACCCTGCCCCCCAACACTGTGTCTTGAAGATTCCCAGATTTCCCGACTGGCCAAACTCCTCTGCATGTCAACACTGAATGTCTAGATGCTTCCTTCTCCCAACTAGAAGGCAAGCTCTCCAGAGCCAGGGTTGGTGTCAATGACAGTTCTGAATGCTCGCAAATCACCCAGCAGTGTTTTGCAACCAGAAGGAACTCAGTGTCTATCTGCTAAATGAATAAGTCAATGGACAAAAATGGACAATTTGACTATGTTCCACCACTAGTCTCTCAAAACTCTTGGGATAGAAAAGAGACTGAAAAGGAGGTTTCAGACTGGAAGTGATACTTCTTACCATCTCCCCCATTTCATCTTTTCCCAGCACTAGTCCTGCAGGTTTAAAACCTGACCTGACTTTTCAGAAAGGAGGACACTGGAAGAGGATGGCTGCAAAGCAATGCAAAAGGGGAACATCAAGTAAACACAAATTCTCTCATCGAAGTCTAGATGCCTTAGAAAGCAGGCCCCCGAGATCTGCAAAGGCAAGAAAGGAAGATAAAGAGAAGCATCTCCTACCTGCCCCAAGCTGCCCGGGTTATAAAGTGCTTTCAGGTGTGCACTAGGAAAGATGAAGGGTAGAGTTCACAGCTAGCCGACTAAGGAGATGAAGCCCAGAGAAGAGGAAACAGCTGCTCCAGGGCTAGTCAAAGGTGGTGCTGGGAGAAGAGCCCCCACCTGCTATTAATAATTTCTAGCCCACAAAGCTTTCCACTCCACTAGGCTGCCTATGTAGCTGTTACATCCAATTGCCTAAGTTAATGGCCCAATGCTAAGTACATGAAGAAAGAAAATTTACTGGTAGTTTCATACTAGTTCATCAGAGGACCTTGAAGATTACCAGCATTTTATTTTGAACCACTCTCACTCACCAACCAGGACTGATGAATATAAGTGCCTGGTTCTTTTTTCAAGCTACTTAAAAAAAAATGACCGGGATGGGGAATACATGTAAATCCATGGCTAATTCATTTCAATGTATGACAAAAACCACTGCAATGTTGTAAAATAATTAGCCTCCAACTAATAAAAATAAATGGAAAAAAAAAATGTTCATCCTACCGAGCACCTCAAGTTGTCTGGTCTTCACTGGGTAGGTAGTAAAAGACAGCCCTCAAAACAATTCACTCTTCAGAACTACTGACTTAAAACCTCATTTTTTAAAAAAGCTGAATGTCACGGCATAAGCCACTCCAACTCTACTCAGTACCTTAAAAGGCCAAGAAAAAACCCCAAGAAACTTACAACCCAGTCTCCTGCAGAGCAAGGAGCAAACCCAGCGTCCTGACGTGTGGGCTCACCCAGCTTTCCTCAAAAACCTAGGCACAGACATTTTCCAGAAAACACTGGCTTAACAGAATCGACTTCACGGGGCTGTGGGCAGGCTGAGATTAGGAACAGTGCCTGGAACCTGCTAGGGCTCAGAATACAGCGGCTTCTACGGTGTTTGGGATTTTATTTTCAATTGTTGCGGGAGGAGAAGGAAAGGAAGGAGCAGGAGACGCGGCAGCTCGGCTGTCCGCAGAGTTCTGAGAGGTTCCGCGGCCTCCCTCTGACCACCCCCTAGAGCCACCCCACCTCAAACCCGAAGCGGTGCGCGAGAACTGTACGGCCCGAGAATGGGGCTCGAACTTCAGCACGGCGAGGACCCGGGAGGGCGGCGACCCGGACCCCAAAACTCACCATGGTTGTAGAGGCGGTAGCGGCTTCAGGACTCAGACGTGGCAGGACCCGGCGTCGCCTCGGAACAGCTCACTTCCGGCGTCGGGCTAAAAGCCCGTCGGGTCCGGACGCCGGAGCCTCCGGGCAGCAGCGAGCTCCGCTCGCACAAGCGTTCCGTCCTCTCCTAAGCGCCACGGCCCCTCCCCTTCTCCGTGCGTAGACCGCGAGACCAAAACGGAGTGGGACTCTCGTTTCCATGGCGACCCAGACTCGGGACTTATAATCTGAAGCTTTAGCCCGTCTTCCCTCGCGACCAAACCCTTCCCTTTGCCTGAGATCCACACAGGAAAAAAAGGGACTCCTAAGGAACGTCTCTGAGGTTCTGGGTACAACGGGCCTTACGATGAACATTTTAGGATGATCAATTTGGGGGGTAGTGGCCAGACTGGTCCTTGTTCTTCCTTGTTAGTGTCTCCTCAGGACCCAAGCTGGGACCAGGGGCAAAGAAACCCAGCAGACAAGCAAGCCCCTTGCCGGGAGGTGAGCCTCTCTTTCTTCCGGCCCTTTCGAAGCACAGAGGATCCATGCCTCAGAAACCGCCTTTTCCATCACGGCTCTGGGATCCTGTGAATCTGGCCCACCGGCTAGATGCCCAGGCAAGGAGGGATCTCAGCCCGACTCCTGCAGCTGGATCCCAGGATCCAATCGCCAGTTTCCCCAACCCCTAGGCCCCTGGCTTCTCACCTGCACAGCGAGAATGCTGTAGCAGGACAGAGCCCCTGGGGGGGTTCCCCTCAGCCACACACGGTCTGGCAGCCCTGGGCTTCTCATGGCTTTTAGGAGTTCAGTGGCCCAGGATGGAACCTAGACTCCCCTTGGATGAGTCAGAATCCCTGTTTCCTCTCTTGAAACTGGAGGGAAGTGTCCTAGCAGAAGATGGTCCCTGCTGGAGGCATGATGTTAAGACCCAGAGGGTGTGACAGACCCAAGCCATCAGGGAGCTGGGAGAGGGGGCCAGAGAGTGGGGTCTTACAGAACTCAGGGCTGGACCTCCAGATTGCAGCTCACCCTCCACTCACACCCCCAGCTTTCAAGACCTGCAATTTCCCTCTAATGGGAAAATATTCCAGGAGTTTGAGGTCTGGTGTTTATGATGGAAAAAAAAATGTTGCAAGGAACAAAGCGGGAGGGGCTCTGGGGTCTCCTGTTCTTCCAGGGACAGGCCCTGATCTCAGATCTGTAGATATACTACTGATTCTCTGAGTGATAAAATCATATCGCTTCTGTCTGAGCCCAACTTTCCTTGAGTATAAGATGAGGACAATGACACAGTAGATATAACATAAACACAATGCATGGAGCATAAGGAATTCCCTGGTGTTGGCACTGAAGCTGGAGAGAGTGAGGATTTGGGAGAAACAGTGCAACTGTATCTTATTCATTAAGGTATTTGCTGGTGGAACTGAAAAGTTTTGAGTGCCAACCTTGGCATCAAGACTGCTAGGTATGAATACTGTAGCCCCTGCTTACTAGGTGGGTACACCCTTCACCTCTCTGAACTGCTGTCTCTTCTGTTAGGTGGAAACTAATAAAACCTTCTGTAGAAGGTTGATGTTGGGAGTAAATTCACCTTTGGATGTGAAACTGGGTTTGGGTTTGGAAGCCGACTGGGCCTGTGGTGCTTGTTCTGGGAGTCAGTCTTCCCTGAGAAGAGCTGGGATTGTGTGTGCATGTATGCACGTGCGACCCTCAGACTTTGAAGCAACACTGGGACTGTCTCTTGATCTGGGCCTGTTCCTGTTCTTTGCTAATGTTCACCAGAGGTGTGCAAAGCTCAGACTCTTTGTATGCCAGGCTCCCTTCTGCATCCCCCTGTCCTCAGGAGGGGATGACACCTACATCCTTTGTCCATATCTCCCATCACCTCCCTCTGGTTAATCCCAGACCCCAAGTCAGGCCACTGTTAGTTTTCCTTGTTTGGTGCCCTGACCCTCTAGAACTTGAATCTCAACCTCTTTGTCCTCCTGAGGTCTCTTCCCCCAAAAGTCTGGCCATCTGGGATTGTCAGCTATTCCTCATGGAGGGTTCATGACTCACGGAACACTGAACTTGCCTCCTTCAAATGGTACAGGAAGGCGCGACTCAATGGAAGGAGAGAGACTGCCCCTGCCCTGCGCACCCTCAGGCAAACTGCCTTTCCCTTCCCTCTGAGTTCAAGTCCACGGAGGGCGGGGACCCAGCCATCCCTCGGAAAAAGGCCTTGTGATGTGTACCGTGTCTACATTTCCACGTGTGCATTTATTGTTATTGCTCAGTATAGTGTTGAAAAGGCAGACAAATCCCATTAGTTACAAAGAGCACAAGCCAGAGATACAGAGAAATCAAGAGTGTACAATAAGAGCACAGTCACTTCCCAGCCCCGATTGTCCCAGAGCACCCCAGAGCCCGGGCAGCTCAGGAAGCTGGAGGCGGCACCATTTCCTTGCTTACTCTGGTATAAAATGTGTGCAGACAAGAGTTAGCAAAGTGTGGCGACCGACCCTCCCGAGAGGAAAGGTCGGGAGGGAGAGCACCACAGGCGTTACAAGACTTGGGGGAGCCGTGAAGGGCGGTCCCAAAGCAGCCTTAAATATCTTGTTTTCGTTGGAGGGGGTGATGGCTGATGCCCAGGGCTTGGGATTCCCCCTCCCCTACTTGGGTGGACAGGCTCTTTATGTCAAAATCAGGAGAGCTCGCTTTGGAACTTGAGAAAGACCTGGGGATTTCCCGCTATTGTTTGATTTTGGCCTTGGCTTTGGAGGACCCAAAAACCTTCAGAGAAATGCAGCCCATCCCCCACCCCCACCTCCACACCTTCTAATGGTGGGATCTTGGGGCCCATTGGAGAGAGTTTGGGGTTGGGAGGCGTGTCACAGTGTACTTATTTGACAGCCTCCTGCAAGTAGAGCAAGAACCACTAGGGGGAGTCAGGGTGGTGAGAAGGTCCAGGCAAGAAACGGCTACACGCCGGAGGACCTATTTCAGACCTGCTGAAAACTGTCAATAAAGAGCAAGGGGTGACCCCCTCCCCACAAAAATAGCCCAGGAAAAGGAGCCAGGAATAAACATCTCTCCATGAGGAGAATTGGCAAGTGGGATACACATTCTGGTAGCTCTGAGTCTGGGAGAGAACCTTCTTTCTCCCCTGGACTGGGGTGGATGGAGGGTCCACCCCATCACAGCCAAGGTGGGTGATTTGGGGGCCCACACTGATATTGGCTGGGGGCTCCGTGGCCTCTCCTGACAACACCCTGGCTCAGGGGACAGGTGAGATGATGGGAGGAGTATCAGGCTTCCCTCAAGATCTAGGATGCCCTTCTTTTTTCTCCTTAAAGGGCTCTCTATTTAGTGAGCTGGAGTGGACAGTGCTTACAATGGCGGCATGATGTTTGCACCTGTGATGAAAGGGCCCAGTATTTGGGGTGAGAGGAGGGCAGGAGGGCGGAGGACTCGGCAACATTTTAAGTTTACTTGGAAGAACAGACGTGAAAGAATAACCAGGAAATTTTGTTTTAAAAAAAAATGCACGAAGGGTATTTGTCCCACCACATAATAAAAACATCATATAAAGTGACAATAATTAAAACTAGGTGGCTGGTCAGATGAGACACCCTGATGAGGGAACAGAGGGGAAATTCCAGAAATAGATGCAAGTCTCTCTATCAGGGTGCGGTAAAGGGGGAATTTCCACACAGTGGAGGAAGGGTGGCTGTTCCATCACTGGGCTGCCTGGGCTGAGACAGGTCCCGGATCCTCACCCCAAGTGCAGTCACCGCCGTTGGTCTGTGCTCAGAAGCAGGGACCTCTGTTTCTTGTCCGCTCTCTGCTCTGGCTGGGACATGGGGAGAAGGGGCCACGGGGGTGGGGTGGGGGCTGGTGGGAGCAACCCAGGCTGCTGCTGAGTTAGGGAGGAAGGTCTTCAGTTTCCTCCCTGTCCACCTCCAAAGGTGGGTGGCTCACTGAATGGGCCCGCTGCTCGTCCCTCATCTGTGGAGGGGGAGACAGATTGGTGAGCGTAGACCTCAGAACCAAGTCTGCTACCTCCTCCTGGAACCCCGTCCAGAGGGCAGACAGGAATCTAAGAGGATGGTGCAGTCCCTGACCAGTTAAAAAAAAAGTATATATTACAGAGTATATAGTCACTGTGTTCTGTTTGATGTTTTTTGCCTTTTTTTTTTCCTTTTAAGACCACAGACATTTCAGAACCACACTGCAGGAGTAAGAAGAGACAGCAATTGAAAGCATCACCATTGCATAGTATTAAATGAACAGAGATGGTGAGTTCTTTATTTACAATTATTGTCTAGATTAAAAAAATTCATAAAAACAGATGAATGGTCATAAATTATTTACCCCCTAATGGGGTGAACTGCCAAACGTACCCCATGCTGCTAGATATAGGACGCCGAGTGCAAGCTTTATGTACTACAGTGAGTTCTGACAAACCAGTCATTTCCTCTGTGTGTGTGTGTGTGTGTGTGTGTGTGTGTGTAAGTGTGAGGGCAAGGGTATGAGTGTGTATGTGTGTGTGGGCATCCATCATTCCTGACAAGAAAAGACCAGCACTGATGTGGGGGCATTCTAGCTTCCGTGGCTCCCTACTCTCCCTGGAGCTGAGCCCCGTTCTGGGAGACCCCCTCCTGCTCCCCTTGCGTCCTGGCTGCAAATGAGCAGGAGGCCTCATGTGCAAGCCGGGCTTTCCTGGTGTCATGGAATGCGGTCATGGACACACGGTCGGAACACAGGGGGAGATGGAGAACCTCGAAAAAGGAAACTACAAAAAACAACAGAAAACGAAAAACACACCACGTTCCAAAGCTGCCCCAGGTTCTACAGGAGCAGGTCTTTCTCTAAGGAGAGCAGTGGGCGGTGTGGGCGGTGTTGGTCTTGGAATCCAATAAACACATCTGAGGGCTGGTCACCCCTTCGGGGGACACAGTTCCCTCTGCTGGCTACATTCAGAGATGATGCTTCTCGACATTCAGGAGATGCTCTTGCTCAAAAAAGGTCCTCCTTCCAGGAAGGTCTTGCCAGGTGGGATGGGCTGTCTCGGGATCCCAAACCCTCGGGTTTCTCCACAGCCGTCCAGACGCATGCCCTCCCAGCTGACTATGGCTCTTTTCCCGAGTGGCTCTCAATCTTGTTTGTGGAAGAATTCTCTGGGCCTGGAGAAGGGAGGGGCCCGGGCTGACACAGAGCAACCGTGGGAAGGGCCAATATGAAGAATGCATTTTGCAAGCGAGGCGGGAAGCATTTTGGTTTTCCTTGAAGCATGGGACATCATCGGTCATGGTATTCAAAATGTCTTTTGCACTGTACAAGTTTATGGAAAAAGATCGTATGCTGAAAAGTCTCAAAGCAAACTTTGTATTCAATACAAAAGTTCTTTTATGAAAAAAGCTGATACCCACAAAGTGCTTAGCAGTTAAGAGGCTGACATACAATTAAATAAGCTCTTATTAAGTGGGATTACTAGTGCTGTTATTGTCTCAGGTGCGGGGGAGAAATAACCACCTTTTCTCACCTGTGATATGCAGGGTTTCAGAATGGCTTTCTGTCTGGGAAAGCAAGACTTGCTGTTCAAAGGCTATAGTATATATTGCGACTACAGGAAGACGATTTGGTTTAAAAAAAATCACACTGAATACATCTCAATATACACATCATAAGGTTCGTTCGGATCTAAGTAGTGCAGAGAAAAAGGCTATTCTTCTTCAAAAATAAAAATAAAAGCAGCAAGCCTTAATGATCCTCATCCAATATGCCAACAGCATATTTGCTGCAATCTATGAGGAAATAAGCCTCTAAATTACTAACCGAAAAAAGAAAAAATCAACAAAACAGCATTTATAATATTGCCTCACTACCTCAGTCTCTGCACAGACAGCGCCAGAGGGGACCTCTGTTGGAAGTGCTCTTAGTAAACTCAAGTGAGTTTCATTGAGAGAAGGTCTTCACTCAGTGCTTTGCGGACCCCGTGGCCCTGGGGCCGGCCGGCCATCAGTCAGTCCTTGGAGCCCACGAAGACTTCTCTCCTCCTCCCCCTTTGTCTACGGAGCGTGCTGTTGGACCCCTCGGAATGGATCCCTGCTCACATTTGACTCCTGTCTCCCACGGTAGTGACATTATCCAACAGAAACAGCAAGCCAGGAAAAAAAAAAAAAAATCAGAGCATGGCTATCGTAAAACATCGAGGATGCAATCCAGGGAGGTGTCTGCCAGGCTGAGCTGTTTTTTTATAGCATCTCAGCCACCAGTGTTCTTAAACCATACAAATAGCCGAAGACGTTATCTACAGGTTTGTAAACAAATTACATTCTTCTTTTAGGACATAAATAAGTTAAAATAGAGCAATTTAAGCAGAAACAAGGCAACATGCCGGCAAAAAAATTTTATATATCCATTATATATATTTATATATATATATATATATCTACCTATCTATATGGACGTATACAGTCTCAGAGAAGTATACGTTGATATAGATACAAAGAAATGGATATAACCTTGTGAGTGTCTGAAGTTCTTCGGTTCCATTGGTGCAAATTTACCAGGCGAGTTAAGCTCTGCAATTTCAAAAAGTTGTGAAATTAACCTGTACAACTGAGACCATGCTACAGCAAGCATCTCAAAAACTTCACAGACCAGTGGATTGGATAAATAGTCTCAGAAAAGAGTCTGTTTTGCAGTTCCCGCCTAAGAAACAAAAGAAAAAACAAAACCCCTCCCCAACCCCCCCAAAACCAAACTAAGGGAGGACCGGAAGTATGCAGTACATTCATGCAGGGATGTGGCTGGCGCTGGGCTGGGGGCATGGCTGGTCCACGTCAGGCGGGAGCCAAGAAGGGCTAGTTCTGGGAAAACCCCCACTCACTCCCTTTAGCCCCGCTCCCCACGAGATCCCGCCCTCGCCTCAAGGTGAAAAAGAGTTCAAACAGCATCGCAGCCAGAAAAAAAAGGGTCTGCTGGGTGGAATCGGTTTTCTCGCCAGTATTTGTTGTTGTTTTTTTCCTGCCGTTGCTCGCTGCTGCTCGGGTCCGTCAGGTGCCTGGATGGGTGGCTGCCCGGGTCGGGGGCGGGGTGTGGTGTGGCGGCGGGGTCGGGGTGGGTTCCTCAGCTAAAGCGACGTCTCCAGGCTGTGGATGGGGCTCCCTGGACTTGAAGAGGTAGCTGATTTGCTTGTGTCGGTCGTCAGGTTGATCCCGCTGTCGATGGCGCTGTTGTTCTTGTTGAGCGACGAGGGCGGGCTCGAGTTCTGCTTGAGCGCGGCATCTTCTTCCAGGTCGGTGTCGTCGATGAGGGGGATGTGGGGCTGCGAATCTTCGATCCGGAACTCAGGATGAGCCATGAAGTTATGGATGGAGGTTCGAGACTCAGGCTTTTCTAGACCTTCATAGAGAGAGCTACGAAACGCCTTCACGACGCGGATCTGCAAGGGAAGGGCCCGGGTGAGGCGCACCACCGCGGGGGCGGTGGCCAAGCTCTGGGGGTGGCGGGTGGGCTCGCGGGAGGGGGTGGCGAGGAAGAGGGGGCGGGGCACAGCGGGCGGCCGGAATCCACGGCGTCGGGAGCGCGGACGGGAGCGGGAAGAATGGAGGGAGGAGGGGGCTCAGGTTATGTGCATCCGAGAGGTGTTTTTTGTTTGTTTTTACTCGCTCGGTTTGGGGACAGACTACAGTATTAGGACAGAAGAAAGGAAGCCCCGCCGTAGAGACGCTGGGGAACAGTGGTTAGAGGAAGCTTAGTCCACTCCAGTGGGCACCCAGACCTAGTGAGAGACTGAGCCTTGTTAACTGGAAATTAGAGCTTCGACCATGCAGAAGGGTAGCGGGGCCAGGTGGGAATCAAGGAGGAAGGAGAGGCTATTTGTAAAAAAAAAAAAAAGAGAGAGAGAGAGAATTCATCTTAGAAAAACCACACACCGTTAAGGAACCACAGACATGGAACAGATAACGCATCACACACACACAAGGAACAGAGAGAGATGGCTGGGTGAGCCGGGATGAGAGGGGGGACACACGAGGGCCAAACAGAGAAGGGGGACATCGAACCAAAGCAGCAAAGCAAACCGAAGCCAACTCGGGGCTTTCTGGGGTGCAGCAGAGGCAGCCAGAAAGCGCGGAGGAGCCGACGGCCGATGACATTCGGGGCTCGGGAGCATGCTGCGGTGGGGGGACGGGAACCACACGGCACACACAGACAGACACACGGCTACACTTGGAAGCCTGCACAATGTGAACGGAGGTCATTTGTACCCAACGCTTCTTTCCTTCATGCATTTGGGAGGTAAACACTCGAGTATAGACTCAAAGCCCTGGCCAGTCATTGGAGTTGGCTTTGGGGTCCCTGATTTCCTGCGTTTTTTTTTTTTTTTTTCCTTTCTTTCTTTATTTGTGCTTTGAAAACACAAAACCGAAAAATGAGGCCAGAATCAGAGGAGCCCACTCAGCCCCTGGGTAGTATTCTAAGAGGGTTCAGAACTAAGCCACAGGACAGCCAAGTTCTTTCATTGTCTGGGTCTCAGATGGAAGCTGGGTTCCCTGCAGAACGGAAGGCCGGACAGGGAGGCGTCCGGGCTGTGCCACTTCTGGCGCCTTGACTGCGGGCCAAGGCGAGCCACGCCACCAGGCTGGCTGCCCCCTGTCCTGCCTCACAGGGGACACAGGAACGGGACCCTCGCTTTGAAGAGGGGCGTCCTGTCTCTGAACTCCTGGGAGGGGAGCCCTGCCTGCCATGGTGAGGGGCCAATGGGACAGAAGCGCCTCCTCCTCTCTTCCCAGCCCCCACTCAGAGCGGAGCCAGCAGGCGGGGAGAAACAGGCATCTATGATGCCTCGGGGAGCCGAGCCAGAGCAGAGGAGGGGGGGTGCTGACCCGGACAGCTCTACCTTCCTGCCCCCCTATATCACAGGCCTGGGGGTGTGTGGGAAGGCCCTCGCGGTCCTGGGATTTGTGGCACTAAACCCAGGTTGGTGGGGTGCGTGGCGGGAAAGCCCTGTCCATGGAAGTGAATTTTCATGATGACTGTGGCTGATGGTTTTAAGTGTCACAGCTCAGGGTTTACGCGACTATTTCAGAGAGGAGTCTTGGCAAGACACGTCGTAAGCGCCTCCGCCTTCTAATTTAGAGAACACAGAGAATTTGTCAGTGAGCCCTCTTCATTTTGTGTAAGACTCCAAAGTTTGGATTTTTAAAAAAATTTTTCTCCTGTGCTGCCAGCCATCACTTGCTAGCTCTGACTCTTCCTCATCTTCTCTAAACCACCTCTGTCCCTGGTCCTTCTTATGTGCTGTTGGGCCGGGGACTCTGGGGAAACCTGCCTGGTGGGACCCTGCTTTCAGTAAAAGGCACTGGGTGCTAAGCAAGAGCCAGCCGGACACCATGGGTTAGTGTTGGCCCTCCGTGATGGCCACGTGGCTGTTCAGAGACGTCTTTCTCCCTGGATACCCTATCTGTGGCTCTGCAGAGATTATGCAGTATTCTGACCTCCTGATAACTGGGCCATTACTCCATTGGTTAAGTGAAAACAACAAAAAAGAGGTTGCAGGCCTCAGTCTTCCTAACTGTATAATGGGGACGCTAATGACTTCTGTAGCTGCTCAGCCCCGTGCCCGGAGTGTTCAGAGGCTGAGCTGCAATGAGACGCCAGCCGGGCAGCACCTGGTGGAGGAGGGGGGATGGTGGCAGGACCCTGTCATGGGACTGACAACGCGGAGGGGACGACACACAATGAGATGCAGGCCCCTCGCCCTCCCCCTGGAATGGAGACGACAGAAAGAATGAACTGCTCTGGACAAAGACTGTGGGGACAAGACTTTCCGGGACACCCCGCCACGGCCGTTTCAAGTCTCCACTGCGGATCTCTCGCGGCTGAAATGGAAAAGAGTATGGGAAGAAAAAAAGCTCTTCCGTCTCCCCTTCCCATCTCCTGCCCTGGGGATGGGCCTTTGCTGGCGTGAGCCACCCTGGGACGTGGGGTGAGGGGGGAAGAGAGGAAGGGTCTGGGGTCTTCAGATGTTTTGGTTTTATCAGCACAAAGGGGGCAGGGAGCGGGGGTGTGCTAAAGGAAATGTATAGGTCCCCCCGTCTGGGGTGGGTTGGACATACTCGAATGTTTACCCGGCTTCAAGGAAGCCAAGAGTCTGGGGTTGATTCACATTCATTTCAGGCTCAAGGTTAAAGACTCACAACCTCTTTTAATTTCACTCTCTCTTGCTGAACTCTGTGTCCAGGGTTCTCTAGCCCTCTAGGGAAACAAACACATGGAATATTCAGACAGTGGAGAGGTCTGGGCTCCCCCCCACCACCAACCAGAAGCAAGCCATTTTCTCACCAACCCAAGGTTGCACTAAATTAGTTACCAGGATGCTAATGAGAGCTCCGGCTTCCTTTCCTTCCCTTCTCCTTCATCCCCCGCCTAAGAGATGCAGACGCCTCATCCTAGCAGTCCTTAGAACCTGGAATCTGAAGGGGGCTGGGAGGGGGCCTGCCCTCTCTAGACTGGGAAGGCATGGGGAAAGTGGCCGGTACGGGGTTAGGAGTCTGATGCTCTGGGCCTGGTTGGTTCAAAGGAACAAGACCTTCACTCATGAACGTGGCACATGCTACGAACTTGCTAACTGTGAAGCCGGCCTGAGATGGGTTAGGAATTTGTGGGAATAAGAGAGAGGAGCCATGGAGGTTGGCCTTGGATCCTAAAGCTGAATGCTAACTCTGTTCCTGATCACTGATGGGCGGACGCCCCTGCCCCAGTCGCTGCCAGGCTGATGGAAATCTCAAGAGGAGAAACAGCTTCCCTGGCCCCCTGGACCCCAAAGCACTGGCTCCTTTTCACTGCATGTGGCTGTGGGCGTGGACACTGGTTCCACCGTGGAAATTCAACCTCTGTGGGCTTGTCTGGTGAGTGGTGTGGGTGGTGGGGAAAATGGGGGACTCTGGAGTCAGATCTCTTGTCACTTACGTGCTGTGTGATCTTGGCCAAGTCAGGCCACTTCTCTGAGCCTCAGGGACTTGCTCACTTAAATGGAGGTATTGGCAGATCCTCCCTCTTTGCATTTCAGTTGTGAGGTACATGTGGAGTGGAGGATGTGAGCAAGTGCTTTGGAAAATGGTGGGTGAGGCTGAAGTGTTAGGGGCGTGCCATTAAGTTTCTGGGTGAAAAACTCGCTTTTGAGTGGGTCGGAAGAGGAAAGCGAGGTTGTGGGCCAGAGTTTCCTCCTGATCATTCGAATGTCAGTCTGACCACACTGTCTGGTCACCGCAGGGCATCTGTGTGCTGGGGGCCCTCCGTCTCACAGTGGTGCTGGGGGAGGGACGTGTGACTTGCTGAGGGTGTTCCAGAAGTCAGCCTTGCACACCCAGCCCTGCCCTAGGCCTCTGTGGTCACTTCTGATAGCCCAGAGGACCATGGTTGGGACTCCTTCCAAGGTTGGATGGCATCACTGACTCAATGGACATGAGTCTGAGCAAACTCCGGGAGATGGTGAAGAACGGGGAAGCCTGGAGTGCTGCAGTCCATGGGGTCACAAAGAGTCGGACATGACTGAACAACAACAAAGGTACAGAAAGCCCAGGTGTTTTTTTGACTCAGCAGGCACCCTCCTTTACCCAGAATCCTGGGAGGAAGATCCTGCTCGGAGGAGGTAGGGGTAGCCCATCTCTCCATCCACCCAATGTGGGGGCCTGCTTCCTGGCCACATGCTTCACACCCTGTGTGAAGAAAGCCTCTGTGCTGCTGGAGGGACCTGCCTGGTACCCAGGGGGCTCCTGGAGTCCCTGGAGATGGGAGGAGGCGACATGGCTATAGAAACTATTCAAGCAAAGGAGAAACTCAGGGGTATATATTTAGAGTCATGACTGTGTTGACCCAAATCTGTGTGTTGAGACCACAAAGGCTTTAATCCCTTTTGGAACAAGTACCCTCATGCAGGGGGATGGCCAGGCTCTTTTTGGAGACCTGATGCCCAAGAAAAGGTCCCAGCATGGACCCAGAGTCACAGGCTGGATTCTGCAATCACAGGTAGGAATGCAAGACCCCTAAGGAGGCATGATGCCTGGAGAGATGCAGGATGGTGCTTGGGTGAGGGAGTCATGCTTGAGTAGCCCCCTTAGGGTCCTTTGAGAAAATGATGGGTCATGGGCAAGACCTGAAGGCTCCTTCTCAAATGCTGTTCCAAAGCTGGGTCACCTCATGGGGTAAAGGGATCAACCTGGCCTGAAAGGAAGCTGGCTTAGAGAAAGGGAGCAAAGGGCAGGCGGAGATGGGCGTTTCTCTGAAGGGAAAGTGTTGAGAACCAATTGGCCCAGGACTGGCCTTACTGAGTGGTTTTATAAAGAACAGAAGAAAGGACTCGAGACGACTGCACTCTTTCCTCGAGACATGAGAGCTAAGATGCGAGGCTCCACCAAGGGAGATATTGCGGGGTGGCCAGGAGCTCTGGGAGCTCCGTGCTGGCCAGGACGAGTGGGGCGCCATGCTTCAAGAAAGAGACCGTGCCAGGGAGGACAAGGCCTGGACCTGGAGGCCGCCCCCTGGCAGTCAGACTGGCTGGAGGGACGCAGGAGGGACGTGGGAATGGAGGGAAGGGGACTTCCCCACTGGCTGTCCAGCCCTGAGCATTTCTGGTCTCCATGCTCGGAGACAGGAGGCACCGCTGAGCAAGGCCATGGCTTGGCTGATGCGGGAGTAGGGCCGATGGGTGCAGGCCTCCCGCTGAGGCGGGGCCTCTCTGGTGTGAAGGGCGAGAGTGTGGGATCAAAGTGCCTCCTGCCCAGAGAGAGCCTGGCACTGGCTTCCGGTGACAAGGCCTCCTGGAAGCAAGGCTCAGGCACCATCTGCTCAAGTGGCCCCACTTCCCCTGGGTGCCTCTGGTTTCCCCATCGCTGCGTTTTCATGCTGATAAACCAGCACAGAGTTTTGCCTCATTTCTGCATGCCTCCTGTCATCTTGCGACCTGGCAGGGCTGTACCCACGGAAAGGTCCGTGGGACACACCGCCGATGGTGCCCCGTGACTTGCGCTTCCTGCCTGAGGGCTTGGACAGCATCGTGCCCGCCCAGCACGCAGTCCTCTCTTGCTTGGTGGCAGAGGATGTGTGTTTTGGGTGTTCTGTGTTTAGAAGAGGATAGAGGCCCCTTATAAACTACAAGAGATGAGGCCTGGAGTCTCATGAAAGAGGCCCGAGTGCTGGGAGTTAGCACACAACCCGAGAGGACCAGACTGCAGCTCCCCTGTAGTTTGGGAGGGGCTGACTGGGAAGGGAGGCAGGTGGTAAACAGAATCTTCTTGTGCCCTCTGGGGCCTGAGGCCACTAGGGGTTCAGAAAGATCTAGACAAGGCCAGAGATGAGTGACCTTGGGCGAAAGCCGTGGTATAAGGAGATGAGCTTGTGGGAGGAAGCTGACGGAGAGGCTCAGAGTCCCAGGCTGCCCTTCTGATGAGGAAGGAGGAAGCCGAGGGTCAGGCCAGGTCCACGAGCCCGCCGGCAGCCAGCCTGGATGAGACCCCCGCCGTTCTCTACTGAGGTCAAGTGGAGTGGGGGTCACGAGCCTTGTCCCTTCCAGGGAGGGCTCAGGCCTTCACTGTGCTCCGAGCCCTGCTGCAGGGAGAAGAGGGTACGAGGCAGCCGGGGCTGTCAGATGTACAGGGGGAGAGGACGGAGGGGCTGCCCGACGGGGCACAGGGCCTCGGGCTGCGGTCCCCGTGGGGGCCCGGGTCCCCTGACCGACTGTGGTCCCTGACCTACCGTGCTCCCTTTGGGTGGGCCTCGCTGTGGCTGACCATGACCCCCGACAGCCTTTCCTCCCTTGACCCACAGTGACCCTCGGCCTGACTTTGACTGCAGACTGTGGTCTCCTGGCCGACTCTGACCCTCATAAGTCAGGCTTTTCCTGACCCTACACTGACTGGGACTCCTCGTGCCCCCCCAGATGACTGCACCCCCACTTGGCCTCCGTGACCCTGTGGGTGACTGTGACCATTCGATCACTGAAACCTCCCTGAGTGCTGGTGATCCTTCGACTGACCCAGACTTTCTGACCACTCGTGGCCCTCCTGACCCCACGACGGCCTGGTCCGTAACCCCTGACCCTGACCCGCCAAGGGACCGCCACCCCGTGCCTGGCTGTGGTTGGCTGATCATCTGGGACCCTCCTCCTCAATGGCCGGGGCCCCTCAGCTCCCTGGACCTAACCACGAGCGGCTGGCTGCCCCCCGGCCCCTGCCCGCCTGCCCGCGTGGCGCTGGCGGCGGCGGCTCCCGAGGCGGAAAGGGGGTCACACTCACGCCCAGCTGCAGCAGGAGGAAGGCTGGTCGGAGAGGAAAGAGCATTGGACAACGACACGCGACTAGGGCTAGAGAGATTGGCTACGTCCTGGCTCTGGCTGGTGACGGAGGATTGTCTCCGCAGGGCCCCCTGAAAGGAGGCCCCGCTCTTGAAAGTATTGACTACTTCAATCTGCAACGGAGGAGAGAACGAGACAAGTTGCGAAGAGAACGGACACGACAGCTTCACGACTGACAGGCGCCACGCCACGAGGACAGCCGCAGCCACGGCAAGACGACACACCACTTACACCAAGACGACAATACCAGACACGTCCAAGGCTCTGAGAAATGTCTGCTCAGTCGAGCACCTGGGCTTCCCCGGGCCCGGGGAGAGTGGGGAGACACAGGGCCCGGCAGCAGCACCGCTCTAGCGGCCTGGGGGCCGGTGGGCTGGGGGGATGTTAAACGTGGGGTTTGCAGGCAGAGCGGGTGCTCAGCTCCTGGGACCAGGCGTGGAGCCGGAGTGGTGTGGAGGGGACTCCGGGGAGGACCGCCCTTGGCCCAGATACCTGCTCTGTCACGTACGAGCTAGGTGACCTTGGACAGGTCACTGCCCGGAGGCAGTTTCTTGTCCTTCAGAAGGGGCAATGCCGCCAAACTGCCTGGCAGGGCTAAGCTGTGAGGGACAAAGCGCTGACCCACTTAGTGGTCCGTAAGAGTCAGGCTGGACGGAACTCGTGTCCACTCAAGAAACTACAGTCCTTGGAGTCCTCCTGAAGGGCTTGGCGGCCAGGTTGGGTGTCAGCACCAGGGCTCTGTATGATAGCTGCCAGCCCTCGTGGGCAGTGGGGGGCCAAGGGCCACCAGGAGGGCTAGTTCCAGAGCCTGCAATGCTGGCCATCAGGAGGGTCTGGGTCTGCAAGATCCTCCCTGCACCCAGTGCTCACAAAGGGCTGTCTCCCAAGTGTCATTTACCCCTAAAGCTAGGTGGGGGGCTGGAAAGGCCCAGCAGATGTTTGGGACAGCGCCTTGTGCAGGGTGAGGCAGCCCAGGAGATCTGTTTGTGTTGCGAATGGGTGGAAACGCAGTGGTTGGCCACGCGGGGCTGTGGGCTGAGGTGGGGGCCCCTGACATGCTTCCCAGCGGGTGAGGGGGTGGGGTGGGGTGGGGCGCCATGACCTTCCCAGGCTGGCTGGGCAGATTGCCCCACTCTTGGTCTCTTGGTCCCTTTGTTCTTCGCCCCGCAGGGCTGTGAAAGCACCCTGGGAACTGCAACGCTGACCCAGGGAGCGCGACCCCGTGAGAGCGTGGGGACCACACCTTCTTGGCGTGTCTCGCCTGGTGGGAGGCTCTGTTCTGGGGAAGAAATCTGCTCTTGGCTGGACACACATCCCGCACCAGTGCTCGGCATGTGTGTCCTTGCAGTGTGTGTTTTAAAACTGAACTTTGTTCCCCCTAGAACTGACTCAACGCCCTGAAGCTCCACCGCCCTCCCCCCGCCCCAGGAGGAAGCTGTGTGTGCAAATGCAGAAGAGCTGGGCTCAGGGCTGACCCCCTGGCCGGGAGAATCCGGGGCCCGCCCTGGCCTCAAGTGTCCATCCTGGCCTCACCGGGCTTCACCCTCCTGGTGGCCGCCCGGCAGCCCTGATCCACCCTCCCCCAACAGCCCTGAAAGGAACCCCCAACTCACCTGGGCCCTCAGAGCCAGCCCTCCCCCACTGCAGGGCCACCCCTCCCCCCAAAGTCCACAGTGGGCGTGACCCTGGTGTGACCCCATCGCCTAGTGGTCGAGGAGGTAGGACATTCCCTCGCACAGCCAGGCAGAGTGCTCGCGGGGCACTTGCGTGGGCCCAGGCTGATCAGGTGGGATCTGGGCCCGCCCCCTCATCTCCGTCCGCGCCCACCCGGCCCCGGGAGCCGCGGTACCTGGGTCTGGATCCGGTTCAGACCTCGGAACCACAGGATCTGGCCCCGCCGCAGCTCGCGCTCAGCGTGGTCTATCTCCTCCACGTCCTCGTTGAGCTCCTCCTCGGGGATCTCCTCCTTCTGCGTGAGCCTGCCCGCCTCCTTGAGGAACTTGAGCCTGCTGGTCGGGATGGTGGCGATGACCTGCGGGGGGGCCCAGCCGTCAGCGTCAGCCGAGGGGGCCAGCCGCTCCCTCCCTTCCCTCCGGCTTCTGTCACTCACTCACCCAGTTCCCGTCAACTCGCTCCTTAGCTCACCTCCCCTCTTCCTCAACCCAATCTTTGGCTTTCTTTCTAATTCCCTGGATCCTCCAGAGTCAGCGGGACATGGTGGGAAATCTTGGGAGCTGGACACACGCGTGACTTGACTACCCCAGACCTCACTGGTCAGGCGACCTTGGGCGAGTCATGCAGCCTCTCTGAGCTCTAGCTTTCCCTTCTGGAAAGCTGGGGGCAGTTCTCAGAGCTGGAGATGGCGTGTCTAAGTCGCTGGCTTATTCTTCCTGAGGTCCCTGGGGTGCCCAATCCTGGGCAACAGGGCCTCGGAACTTAGGTGCCTGGGGGCAGTCAATGCTGGGAGACTCTTGGAACGTTTGCCCTCCTGGAAGGGAAGGCGATATGGGAGGGGGCTTTGTCTTCATTCTTACTCTTCCTCCAAAGGGCTTGTCCATGGGGCTGAGGCCTGAGTGGTAGGCCGAATGGGGTAACTTAGGTGGCTGGGGTCAGAGCCCTCTTACATCTCCTTTAGGGACAGAGAGGGGTTGGTCTGGACACTCTCAGGGGTTCCCTGGGAATCTGAGGTGGCATCATCCTTAGGGGTCAGGAACCAGCTCGTCCAGATGCCAAGGGCTCCCTGAGGGAGTGGGCCCCCATGAGACAAAGATGTCCAGGCTCAAGGGTGCCCCGGGAATGGGCTTGCTAAGTCAAATCTAGTTTATCAACTCTCCAAAGACACTCGGAAGTTTATTTAAACTTAAATAAAAGATTATTTTGAGTGAAACTAAAGTTCCTTCTTGACCTTCTAGTTAATTTCTGTCACCGGAATTCCCCACTTTAGCCTGGAAACAGCTTGAAGGCAAGACCAATGTCTTAGGTCTGCTGGGGCCCCTCCGCCTAGATCCAGATACCATGTCCTCTGAGCTGCAAGCTGTGAGTTCGCGATGGTGCATGTGTGTGGCTAGTGGGGGAACGTTCTGGGGAGGATCTAGCCCAGGGCTCCCCAGAGCTGGGGGGGTCATGGATGGCTGCAGAGGCTGCGCCTCTTGCATCCCCTCGGAGCTCTCTGCAGAACGCCTGAGACACCCTTTGCAACTGGCCGCCCCAGGCTCTGAGCCTTGGCTGGCCGTGACATCTACTTAGAGTTTAATAACGTTGGCCTGTTACTTTTTTTTTTTTAATCAGCTTCTGTTTATGACAAATAATACTTATTTTTCAATCATATTAGTAATATAAGTTGTCTTTTGAAATAAATTTCAGTTAAAAACCAGACAGGATTAAAAGAAAATATCAAATAACAGGATCAGCGGTATATGTGTGTATGCGTGTGTGTTCAGCTGCTTAAGTCGTGTCTGACTCTTTCAGACTCCATGGACTGTATGTAGCCCACTGGCCAGGTTTCTCTGTCCATGGGATTCTCCAGGCAAGAAGACTACAGTGGGTTGCCATGCCCTCCTCCAGATCTTCCCGACCCAGGGACTGGCATCTATCTGCGCCGGCAGGTGTGTTCTTTACCACCACCTGGGAAGCCCCTCAGCCGGGTATATAGATGGAAGCAAAAATCATAGTGGCGATACCCACATGACCACCATGTGAGACCAGGGTCAACCCCCACTGCTCCAGCCCCCAGAAATGGGGGCCAGACAGCTAATCCTTGCAGGAGCCAGGACCTATGGGTGAGGATCCCGGACTCCCCCAGCCAGTGCTCTCTCCGGAGCGTCCTGGTCGAGAGGCCCCTCCTGCACCGCCCACCCCCAGCACTCACCTGGCCCCAGACGAGCTCTCCTAACCCAATGAATATGCACCACATCCACTGGTCCAGCTGCAGTGGGGAGCAGCTGAATGGCTTCCCCCCAAACTGCACGATCACTATCTGGAGAGGAAGAGGAGAGAGAGAGACAGAAAGGCCATCAGGGGCCAGCTCAGAGGTCTGGGCTCCCAGGGTATTGCCGAGGGGCTCTGGCTGCCCACTGATGCCCCCCCACCAGCCAGGCCAGTGTGGGGGCCTGATACCTGGATGGCAAAGGTGCCCAGCACAATGGTGCAGAAGATGGGGTTCCGGAAGATGCCGTCGAAGACGTTGCGCTCGCCGTGGATCTTGCGGGCGTTGATCTCGTTGAAGAGCTGCATCATGACAAAGGTGTTGAAGATGATGGTGTAGTGCTCGGAGGGCGGTGAGTGCAGGGGTGCGTTCCTCCCGCTGTCGATCTGGAACATCTTCTCGCCTGCCAAGTCGAGAGAGGGCGGGAGCCAGGCTGAGGGTCGGGACTTGGGGGGGACGCCTGGCCCTGTGGGGGGGATGCCTGGCCCTGTGGGGGGGCCTCTTGTGAGCAGCCAGGAGGGTCACCCAGATGCAGGAGGTGCTCTCTGGACACTGGGGGGCCAGGTGGGCCTGTGCCATGGGGTGTAAATGAAGGGGTAACAGTACCCTTTCTCCTCTAGGGCTCAAGTGCCTTGGGTGGACTTTCTTCCACTTTTTTGAGGAAATCTGATAAAGGCCGTGGGCCAGCTGTGCTTCCGGGCAACAGGGCTTATAAAAAACAGCCCCTGGTTGGCAAACTCATCTGGCCTGGGAGGACGGGGAGTGACCTCGGAACATCTGGCGGGAGGCCTTGGCTTTCTGTGCTCGTGTTGTTTCTCAGTTACTCAGTCGTGTCCGACTCTCTGGGACCCTATGGACTATAGCCCGCCAGGCTCCTCTGTCCTTGGAATTCTCCAGGCAAGAATACTGGAGAGGGTAGCCATTCCCTTCTCTAGGGGATCTTCTTGACCCAGGGATTGAACCCAGATCTCCGGCATTGCAGGCAGATTCTTTACTGTCTGAGCCACCACCGAAGCCATAGCTTTGGGTTCCCCCCAAAAGTGTGGCTGCCTGTAACTGAGAATGTCCTTGCGGAGACCTCTGGGAGCTCAAGGGGCTGTTACAAGAGAGATCGGTTCCTACATGGATGCTGAGCCTTCCAGGTCAGGCTGGTTCCAGACCCACCCAGGTGGCCTCATTCTTTGAGGGGGCTGTAAGGTGGTGGGGGCAACACAGCTCCCTGTTGCTCTGCGGACACCACCCATGGCATGCCTGATGCCATCCTGTGTCCTTTTGCAAAGCTGCAAAAGGTGCAAGCTGGTGCTGGGAGGGCTTGTGGTGTTTTTTGATGGTGAGAGTCTAGCTGAATCCAGAAGCACCCAGAGCAGATGCTGAAGTGGGGAAGCCAGCGAGTAAACCAGGGGCCTTCTCCACCTTTCTTCCCCAACCTACAGCTTTCTCTGCGAGTCTCTCCTAACTCTGCATTCCCGAACATCCCCTAAGGCTTCTCAGGATCATCTTTATAACTGTCCTGCCAGCACAACAAACAAGAACTACCGTTTGAAAAACGGGCTCACGCCCCAACCCCATCCAGGCTCGCTGGTGTTGAAAGCCCAGCTCAGGGATCTGTGGAATCCCACTGGCCCCATCTTGTTGTGTGACCCTGGGACACCGTCTGCCTGCCTCTGGGCCTCTCCAGGTGCCGGGGGTCGACTTTGCCCGGATCACCTTGGAAGCACCCTGGAAGCCAGGTCAGTCTGAGTTCCAGCCGGGTCTCTTCTCAGCCCAGGTGCCCCCTCAGGCTGGCTGCATGTCCTCGGGCAAGTCACCTCCCCTCTCTGTCCCTGGTGCCTCATTGTCATGGGGGTGGTCGCACAGGTGCCCAAGAAAAGTGTGGCTTATAGGCAGGTGTGTGGCTCTTTCCCAGGGAGGCCTTGGTGAGGAGCCTTCCACGGGGCAAGGGTCAAGTGTGGGAGCGATGAGAGCAGGGGCCGGCCACTCCTACTAGTGTCTTGGGCTTCTGGGGGGCCGGCATGAAGCCCCGCCTTGCACAGTGTGTACACAGTGTCCAGAGCTGTCAGTGGAAAAAACCCAGGCCTTGGGGTTGCCAGACCTGGGCCAGGGCCCGGCTCTACCCAGGATTCGCTGTGTGACCCCAAGCCACTAACTTCACCTCTCTGGCCCTCCATTACCTCCTCAGCAAACAGGCGGGCGACTGGGAGTCCAGAGCGGCCGGGTCTGGGCCATGGAGTCCTGGGTGGGCAAGGCAGGGGACTCACCGACGAAGAGCAGGGTGAAGATGAGGGTGAGCTGGTAGACGGCATGGCCCAGGATGTTCTTCATCATGGTGCGAGAGATGAGGGGCTTGTTGCGGCCGTACGGCTTCCTCAGGAGCAGTGTCTCGGTGGGCGGCTCAGTGGCCAGCGCCAGGGAGGCGAATGTATCCATGATGAGGTTCACCCAGAGCATCTGCACGGCCTTCAGGGGGGAGTCCTGGGGACCGTGGGTGAGAGAGTAGTGATAAATATCTCCTAGGTATTTATGATGGGAGGTTGGCCACCCACCACCCTGATGTGCCTGGCGTGGGGCTCATGGCCAGGGTGTAAGCAGCTTCCCTTGAGGCCAGCTCTGCCACTGTGGCCGACCCACCCCAGGGTTCCAGAGTGGGTGCTGAGTAGGTTTGTGAGGCCTTCCGTGGAGAACCACCCAGCCCTATCCTCCATAGCGCTGTCTTCTCCCCCAGGGAGAAAATCAAACCCTGGGCATCACGGCCACCAATTCCACACCCTGTGCTTTGTAAATAGAGCCACACTCCCACTATCTTCACCCCTCCCCTCCAGCCCCCACTGGCCATGTCTCTCTTCCAGGCTAAGGCCAAAAGCCCCCACAAGCATCTTCCACACAGACCCCAGCTGCCCTGCTTCCTGCTGCCTCTTTCCCCTCAACCATCAATGAATCAACGACTCTGGCCTCTCCTGTCTCACAAACAGTGCCTGGCACCCTGTCCCCTTTTCACTACCATCCAATTTCTCTTTACCACCACTCAATTTCTCTTCACTTTTTACCTTTACTTGAAGCAAGTACTGTATGTCTCAATAACTCCACACACACACAAAAAATGTTTTCCAGGTAGAAACTTTGGGCAAGTAAGGCACAGAGGAAGCCAAACTTCATCAAGGATCTCACCACTTATGGGCTTCCTGCCATCCACGTTCTGGGGTGGATCCTTCCACGTGTCTCCCTGGCTGAGAGCGGGATCGCACATCCATACAGTTATGTGCACAGTCCTATCACGTGGTCTATGCTGCCTGAAGGTGTGTAGACCCCATGCTTTGTCCCCCGACAAAGCATCCTCTCCTCACACCTGCACATCCCCCGAAACACCTTTCCCCAAGGGCAGCAGCACTTCTTGTCACAGATTCAGGCATAATTCTCCAGGCTCGTCTCACTGAACCTTGAGGTGTCTGACTGCAGCCTCCACTTTGCAACCTGACCCCTCTCTGGGCACCCTTCTCTCTGACTCCTTCTTTTCCAGCTCCCTCTTCCCCTACCCTTTAAATTTGTGTTCCCTGTGGCCCATTCCTCAGCCCTGCCCCCTGCTGCAGTTGCCCACGTCTCCCCACATCACCCTCCCTCCAGCCCAGGCCTGGCCCTGTGGCTTCAGCCTCGCCCACGGGTGGGACACCTCCTCCAGGAAGCCCACAGGCCCTATACACCTAACAGCCTGGGGTGGGCTGTTCCTTGTGCCCTGGTCCTCTCAGCGTGGCTCTGGAGGCCCCACTGCCTACACCTTGCACCCTCACTCACCTCCTAGATATTTATCACCTCCCCTCCCCCAGGCCACCCCTCCTACCTCCGCGCCAGCTCAGTCATGCTCCCCACTCCCCTCAGCCTCTTCCCGCCCATCAGCCTCCTCTGATTGCATGCACCTTGGGGTCAGGGCCCCTCTGTCTTCACCAAGGCCTTCACAGTCCTGCCACCAACTCAATCCAAGACCTCAGGCAAACACAGTCCCTTTGGACCTCAGTTTCCCCGTGTGGCACCAGTGGTCTCCAAGAAACTTGGCGTGAGTGGCTGTTCCTCCCTAAGCCATCACTAGAGGGAGCCTCTTGTCCACGGAGCAGGAGAGCCTGGCGAGCAGAAGGGACAGCCTCCCCACCTCCGCTCCAGCCACCCTGCACCCAGGGCTCTCACTCTCACGGCTGGGGTGTTGGGAGCCGCCAAGTGTGTCCTCAAGGGCTCAGAATACAACAGAGGGAACACCATTCCCTGGGCCACACAGCTCTTTAGGACAGAGGTACAGGTACCAAGAAAGGTCTGTCTGGTCAAAGCTATGGTTTTTCCAGTTTTCCCGTAGTCACGTATGGATGTGAGAGCTGGATGATAAAGAAAGCTGAGCGCCTAAGAAGTGATGCTTTTGAACTGTGGTGTTGAAGAGTCTTGAGAGTCCCTTGGACTGCAAGGAGATCCAATCAGTCCATCCTAAAGGAAATTAGTCCTGAATATCCTTTGGAAGGACTGATGCTGAAGGTGAAACTCCAATACTTTGGCCACCTCATGCGAAGAACTGACTCATTAGGAAAGACCCTGATGCTGGGAAAGATTGAGGGCAGGAGAAGGGGACGACAGAGGATGAGATGGTTGGGTGGCATCACCGGCTCAATGGACATGAGCTTGAGTAAACTCCAGGAGTTGGTGATGGACAGGGAGGCCTGGCGTGCTGCAGTCCATGGGGTCGCAGAGTCGGACACGACTGAGTGACTGAACTGAACTGAAAAGGCACCCCACGGGCCCCTCTGTCCTCCAGAGCCTCTGGGCTTCTGGGAGCTCCTGTGGGCAGGAGCTTGTCTTCTTACATGGATGCTGGGAGAGGCCTTCCCTCTCCTCCCCAAGTGAGGCTGGTCAGCCCTTGGCCGCAGGGAGGCAGGAGGCTGCGGGAGCAATGGCAGGCGCCTGGCCGGCCCATCCTCTGGGCCTCAGTTTCTGCCTCTGTGAAATGGGGATCAACACAGTCCCCATTGTACGAGGTGGGTGAGGAAGCAGTGAGGCTGTGGGGACTGGCACCTGCCTGCCAGCTCCACGGGGCACGGGACACGGGGCTGCTAGAGACCTGGCTATAAAGGTGGGGCCGGCTCCTGCTCTCCCAGTGACCAAGTCCACCCAGCCCAGGAACCCAGGCACCCGGGCCTTCCCTGATGCGCTCCACACCAGAGCTGGGGCTCCCAGGGCCACGCCAGCTCCGTGATGCCAGGTGGCCGCCTGTCTGGTCCTGCCTCTCTCTGGCCCTTTACATGGCCAGGGGCCCTGCCTTCCTGGAGGGTTGCCTCTCCTGCCTCCTGGAATGAGGGCCAGTGTCTCCACTGGCTGGCTGACCTTGGGCTAGTCCTGCCACCTCTGTGAGCCTCCTGTCCTGCACTCTATGTGGCTGGTGCCTACGTGGGTGGCTCTGTGATGTGGTTCCCGGCCCTCGGCTCTGAGCTGTGACAATCAGGGACAGTCCCTGTGGGTGGTGTCCGTCCTCCCCCGGGCTTTAGCTGCCCCACCCCGCCCACCACTGGAGGACCCACCTGCGTGATGCAGGCGCCCGTGAAGGCCACGATCACAGCCACCACATTGACGGTCAGCTGGAACTGCAGGAACTTGGAGATACTATCATAGACGTTGCGGCCCCACATCACTGCCTTGACGATGCTGCTGAAGTTGTCGTCCGTCAGGATGATGTCCGAGGCCTCCTTGGCCACGTCCGTGCCTGCGATGCCCTGTGGGGATGGGGACAGGAGCCTGGGTGGGGCGACCGGAGAGGCAAGCAGCTCTAGCAGCACTGTCCCCACATCTAACCATCACCCCCCCCACACACACACGAATCCCCAGCACTGCAGACCACATGGGAGCATGTCTGCCCATGTGGTTACTGGGAGAAGCCAGGCCTTGGAACATCTGCCCTCTCCTTCCCAAGCAAGGCTGGTCAGCCCTTGGCCGCAGGGAGACAGGAGGCTGCCTCTCCCAGTGACGGAGTCCAGCCGGCCCAGGAACCCAGGCACCACACGGGACACGGACGTGTGCATGCATGCACACACACATACACACACACACCACCCCTACTCCTCAAGACCCAGCCTTGAGGCCAACCTCTGCCTTCAGGAAGGGGGCCCTTCCACTCTATCCTCTTCCCTCCCCGAGACCCATCACTGCAGGAAGCTCTCTCCTCCTTTCTTGAGGCCAAGCTGAGCCTCAAGACCTCTGGGAGCGTCAGGTGGACAGAGGGTGGGTGGAGTGAGCACTGGGCTTCCTGCGCACCCCCCCTCCGCCGCTGGAGGCTGGTGGTCCAGGCATCCCCTTAACCCCTGCCTGCAGGCTCCTGCCAGCTGCCGCCTCGCCCCCGCGCGCCTACCATGGCGAAGCCCACGTCGGCCTTCTTGAGCGCAGGCCCGTCATTGGTGCCGTCCCCTGTCACGGCCACCACCTGCCGCTGCTCCGTGTGCGTGCTGTCGATGATGCCTGTGGGCGGGGCAGGTGTGTGCTCAGGGCCCTGGGACCCCGGGAGGGCCCCAGGCTGGCACAGCCTCCTCTCTGGCCCCTGCCCTGCCACCGCCTTCCCACGGCCCCCGCCCCCGACTCCGTCAAGCTTCATCCCAGCTCCCCGCACCTGCAGGGGACATGGGGCCTGCAACCAACACTCCCTCGTCGGGGCCTGCTGCCTCTCCAGCGTCCTCTTTGCTCTCTGCAGCCCATGGCCACAGCAGTGACCACCCTGGCTGAACTCACTTCCCCTGTCCGAACCCCAGGGGTCTCTCTGTTCTCCAAGGGAGCCAGGTTTGGCTGGCGGGCCACCCATCTGTTCCCCAGCATCTTCCGCTTGGGGCAGGGGGCCGGTCACACCCGAGGAGGCCTGGGCTCTGCCATTTGCTAATGACCGCTCTCTAGATACTCATCCTTAGTAAAACCTTCAGCAAGTAGCAGTGAACAGACGACATATGGCTCTCGTCACTGAGCGAGTGAGGGCCAGAGGAACAGGACGAGTGAAAGACGCCACCTCTGCCCACCGCTCAGGTGGGAGTTACCTGGGTTCGGCGGCTCCTCTATTTCCACCCCCACGAGGCATACAGACACCACCTTTGCCTTCAGCGAGGCCGGCCCTCTCTCCTGAGCCCTGACTCCATGGCCATCTCCACTGGGATGTCAGAGGGCCTCCAGCCCAGCCTCCTAAACCACATGCATCCGTTTCCCCTCAAATCTGTCCCTTTTTGTGCGACTCCCGACAGTGAGCTGCCCCCGGTAAACTTCGCAGCAGGCTCCCAGGCAGGAACACACCAAGCGGTCCTGGACTCCCATCTCCCCTCTTCCTCCACCCCATCCGGGCCAGGCCCCCCCCCCACACAGAGAGTTCTCAGGCCTGCCCACTCCCCGAGCACCTGCACTGTCACCAGCCCGCCCCCAGCATCCCTTCTCACAGCTGGACCATCCCAGCTTTTCCAGGCCGCTCTCCACTCGGCAGCAGGGAGGGAGATGTCCAAAACATCGCTTCTCCATCACGGCCCTCCTGCAGCTCACCACCTGGGCTAGCAGTGCAGGTCACCGCCGCGTGTTCAAGGCCTGTGTGATCTGAGGCTGGGACTCCCTTCTCCAGCCCTTTCCTCTCGTCTCCCTCTCTCACTGGAGGCCCCGGCCCAGCCAGCTGAACTTCTTCCCACCCCTTGAAAGTGCCTGGAAATCTTCCCCTCTGGACTTTCACAGTGTAGTTCCCTGTCCTGCCTGAAGCATAGGTTGGTCCCCCTGGAGCCCATCCCACCTTCCACAGCCTGTGATCTGACACCATCCCCAGGTGGAGCCAGAGGCCAGCAGGGGGCCCTGGTCAGCCTCCTCTTCCACTGGTGTGGCCTCTGTGCAGGGAAACGACCTAGTTAATGTCTACTGGGTGAGACCTGGCCATGAATTCCAAGAGGGAAGGGCCACGTTGGCCAAGAGATGAGCCTGACACATAGTAGATACTCAGTAAACATTTGTCAAGAGAATGAGTGAATGAATGAATAAGTGATTGAATAAAAAATGGAGCTGGGTTGGGGGGGGGTCTCCTGGAGTTCAGGGGCTCAGTGTTTCTAAGGCCAGGTCTGCCTCCATTGAAGTCTTTGGGCAGCACCTTTGGAAGACAAATCTAAGACACCCTACGGCTGACCACAGTCAGAAAACTTCCCCTTGTGGCCATTCAACAGATGGAAAAATTGAGTCCCGGTGTTGGACACTAGCCAAGGCCACAGAGCAGGGCAGGGGGCAGAGCCAGGGATTTAACTCAGGCCTGTGTGACTCTGAAAGTGCCCTGCATCTGGCCAGTGAGATGGGCTCAGCGAGGGGTGTGTCCTCCCCCTGGAGGAAGTCAGGGAAGAAGGACACTGGCTTTGCACCTCCTGTCTCAGATCGCTGTTCCCAGGGCAGCCCATGCCCGGGGTCCTGGTCACACATGTCGGACAGTGTCCTTAGAGACCAGGCAGGCCAAGGCTCTCCAACTCACAGGGTGTGGGGTCAGACTGGGAACATACCCAAAGGAAGGCAGCCGAGTGTCAGACCTAGTGGTTAAGATAGCGTCAAATGGGAACAGCGGGGTCTTTATCCAGTCATTCAAACTGAACATTAGCAAAGACATACCACCCAAATCAGCTCATCGGTGGGCCCCTCAGCCCTCAGCTCCATTGCTGCCCATGGGAAACGGGACCTAGGCCAGAGGCCCACCACCTCCTCATGCCACTGTGGCCCCTGGCAGGCCTCCTAGGGCATCCCCAGGTCTCAGGAGCCCCAGGCGGGAGCCGCTGCCATCCTGGAAAGAAGCTGAAGGCTCTAGGATAGGGAGGCCCCAGAGGCCTCGTGCCTGGGCCTCAGCACTGTCCGGGCCCGCCCAAGTCTTACCTTTGACCAGGGTGTGCTTGTCCGTGGGGGAGGAGCGAGCCAGCACCCGCAGCTTTGGCCAGATCTTATCGATCCGCTCCTGCTCGATCTGGAAAGGGATGGGGGAGGGGCAGGTCAGTGGGGTCGAGGAGAGAAACCGAGGCCCAGATAAGGGAGGGGCCTGGCCTAGACCCCTGGGCACTGAGCAGCACACTGGCTGGCTGCTGGAGTGCCATGCATGCCCATGCCCTCTGGCCGCCGGCCAAGCCCAGCCCTCCAAGGACCCTCTGCGCTGGGCCACGTACCTCCCCTTTCTCGTTGCGGATCCTTCGGTTGAACTCCTTGCCCTCAAGGCACAGGAAGTCCTCCCCGGGATGGATGATGCCACACTTGATGGCGATGGCCCGCGCCGTGTTGATGTTGTCACCGGTGACCATGCGGACAGTGATGCCTGCTCGCTGGCACTTGCGGATGGCTTCCGGGACCTGGGAGGGAGGGCAGGAGCCATGGAGCGGACGGCACCTCGGGTAGGCCCTCCCTGCCTTCATGGATTCCAGAGCCTGTTCACAGGCAGCACCGCGATAAGGGGTCTAGGTGAACGGGAGATACTGATGGCACGCAGACCATCTCCTCCCTTCCTATGCCCATGGCAGGCGTTGTTAATCGATCCCAGCACACTCTGATTAAACCCTGATGTGGTCTCACAATCCTTTTCTGCAGTGTCCCTGACAGCCATCACCTATCAAGCATCTTAAGATGACACCATTGACTATTCCGACCTGGACAAGAACTTTAAGAAACACTGCACTAAACACCCTCTTGGATATGGGCCCAAGCAGCAGTACAGAACACTGCACTATTGCACAGGATATTGTCCCTGCTTTATCCACGTGCACATTTCCTGCAAATGCAATGTTAAATACGTTTGTGTACTTTGGGGTTTTTTTGGGGGGGAGGTGGGCAGGGGAAGAACATTGCATTTTAGGGCATATTATTTACATAGTGTGACACTGGTTTAGATAAATGCAAATGATTAGGCTTCATGTGAAACATGACATCTTCCTGGGAGAATAAGGACTGTCTACTGCCCTTGCTGTAATGATAGATTTATATCTTGCCAATTAGGCCAGAGCAAACCCAGAGCAGACCCAGCCAACCACAAGCCAGCAAGCCCCCCAACTCTGCCCTCTAATCCCCACTCCACCCCCACTCCCCACCCCACCTATGCAAAGCTCTGGATCAGCAATTAGGATGCAAAAGCCAGCCTGGGAGCTTCACAGGTGGTCCAGTGGTCAGGAATCTGCCTTGTAATGCAGGGGACATGGGTTCAATCCTGGGTCCAGTAAGATTCTACAGGCCATGGAGCAACTAAACGCCTGTACCACAGCTCCTGAGCCAGCACTCTAGAGCTAAAGCCCTCGAGTCTCAACTGCTGAACCCACACACCCAGAACCCGTGCTCTGCAACAAGAGAAGCCACTGCAGGCAGAAGCCAGCACTCTGCAACAAGAGAGTAGCCCCCACTCGCCCCAACTAGAAAGGCAAGCAGCAATGAAGACTCAGTGCAGGCAAAAATAAAATAAATACTAATAAATATTTTAAAAAACCAGCCCGGAGCTGCTGTGGCCCTTTATACACAGCACAGATCAACTGAACAAGTGATTCTTATCCATGGGCTGTGACAAATCACACAACAGGAAGGCAATATTTGCTGCCAAACATTCTTCAGGGGGAGAGGACATGTTGAGGGCAGAAAACCCAGTTCTACTGAAAGACCGAAGTACTTTAGCATCTCAGACCTGGCAACTGAATCCCACGCCCCCTCCTCCTGCACACCCTGGGTCTGAGAACTCACTTTCACCCCTGCCCACCCTGGCAAGTCGCATCTTTGAGAGAATTCAACGATGTTGCTGCTGCTGTTCAGTCGCTCAGTCACGTCTGACTCTTTGCCACTCCATGGACACACCAGGCTCCTCTGTCCACGGGATTTCCCAGGCAAGGGATCTAGACTGGGCGGCCATTTCCTCCTTCAGGGGATCTTTCCGACACAGGGATCGAACTCGTGTCTCTGGCATGGGCAGGCGGATTCTTTACCCCTGCCTGGGAGGCCCTCAACCTGCAGTGCAGGGAGAGACAAACGCCCTGGAGAGGTGGGGCCCAGGTCAAGGCTGGGGAGGCCTCTCCAGCTCCCCGAGTTCTCTAAGAAGCCAGTTCCGGGGTGACAGGTAGTGCTCTCGCAGTCCTCGGAAGGGCTGGAGCGGGACACGCTGACCGTGGGCCGCCGCTGGGTGTGTTTCCAGGGTATGGGCAGGAGCCTTTTGGTGCCACCCAGGGCCTGGGGCCACACGAGCAAGGCCTCTGCTCTGTGCACGGCGGCTGCTCACGTGACCAGACGTGACCTCTTTTTACAGAGCTGCAGGGAGTGGGGGTGTGGAAGGTCCGAGATCCCGTTTACATAATTTACCGATGTCCTCACGACGGTAGTAACCTGGCTGCAGCCCCCCGCTATCTCCTGCCCCAGAGGACATGAAAGAGCCACTGTTCTTTTGGGAAAACATACCTTTATCTGTTTCCAGCCCCAAAAGGAGTAATTTAGGTTTCGTTGTTTCAGAGGCACTTGGAGTTGGAACGGACTCCAGGTGGTGATTCTGACCCTCTGCTAATTGCCTAGATCCCTTCCCAGGCATCCCCTCTGCTTACATGCCTCTGTTGACAGGGCATTCACCCCTTCTAAGGCTGACTGCCCCAGGGTAGAGCAAGTCTATTGTATCCTTTCACAAAATCCTTTTTTTCAGATAAAAGAGTAGTTACACACTGCAGTATTCTTGCCTGGGAAATCTCATGGACAGAGAAACCTGGTGGGCTACAGTCCATGAGGTCGCAAAAGAGTCGGATACAACTGAGCGACGGAACAACAACTCTGGGTCAGATGCATTCTCTTGTACAGAGATAGACTCTTCAGTAAAGATCTGTACAGAAGGTTCTGGAAGCACAGAGGTGGGCACTGTTACTTAAGAAGGAAGTGTGTGGGGAGGGGAAATCTGGGAGAGCTTCCTGGAGGAGGGGGGTGGTACTCAAACTGCCTCTTTTTAGCCAACACTAACTAAGGCTTGGATGCTTGGCTCTGTGCCCATGCTGGGCCTGCAGAGACAGCCACTTCATTGTGGTTCTGGCTTCAGAGAACTGTTCAGGAGGTGTGCAGGCAGAGAAAGGGAGGGTGCTGCAGACAGTGTTGCAAGTGATCTGGGGGGGCTGAGGCCGAGGGAGGGTGAGAGGTAGGGGCCAGTCAGTGGCCATGGAGCTGGAGACGGGCTGGAGGCCCAAAGGTCTGGGAACCAGGGCCTCGCTCCTTCAGGCCTGGGAGCCATGGCAAGTTTTAACTGGGAATGAGGTGATGAGTACCACGTTTTAGAAGGATTTCTGCTTTCAAGATGGTCTCAGGGAGCTGAAATTTGCCTGCGTGGAATCCCTACCATCTGAGCTTCACCCTAACAAGCCAGACTGGGAAAAAAGGAAGAGATTAATTCGTATGGCCCCCACGATTTTCTCTGTGCAGTGGAGGCACCTCTGCTTTGGGGAGAGAGGGCTCAGGGACCAAAAGGCTGAGTTGGGCCTTGCCCGGGCTCCCCACTGAGCCTTGGTTTCCTCATCTGTAAAATGGGACTGTAGTTTCCACCCTTCACTGCAGCTGCAGAAATCTGTGACAGGCAAACGGCACCAAGCTTGGGGCCAGCGCATGCTGGTGATGAGGGGGTGGGGGAGGCTGGCGAGACGCCTCACCCCAGGCGTCCCTGTCTGCTGTTTCTGCTCCAGAGGGGTGAAGGGGATGCAGAGCGAGGGTGCAGATGTGGGGGTGGGGCGCCGGGGCACCTGGAGCACGCGGGGGAACAGGTGCTTGGATGGGATGGGCGCCACACCATGGCTCTTGGGTCAGGTATATTAGGAGTCTTTGACCTGCCTTGGCTCGGGGCGGGGACTGGGGACAGATCTGGAAACCTCTGGCCACCACGAAATATACTCTGCTTCCTTTCTGAGCATTGCCCCCCACATTGGACATCCTTGCCGTGTTCAGTCCCGTCTGCTTTCACGCTCTCATGCACCAAGCAAGCATCTACACTTTCCCTCACCCTTCATTTCACTAGGCCGTGGGTCTGCAGGTGGGGCCTGCCGGCTGCTCAGAACCCTTGCAGAGGCCTGGGCGCAGGGCAGGCACTCAGTCAGTGAGGGTTATCATGAAATACCTCTGCACTCAAGTCCCTCGAAGGCTGACCCACGTGAGAAGATATGGACGGGCATGTGCAAACCCTCCAGTTCAGCTCCAAGCTCCCTTCTCAACCTGTTCTCTCATAAACTCAACCTGAGGGGGACTTCCATGGTGGTCCAGTGGTTAAGACTTGGCTTTCCAATGCAAGGGGTGTGGGTTCAATCTCTGGTCGGAGAGTTAGGATCCCACGTCCTCGTGGCCAAAGAAAACCACCCCCAATCTTAAAACAGAACCAATATTGTAACATTCAATAAAGACCTTAAAAATGGTCTACCTGAAAAAAAAATTTTTTTTTAAAGGAAAAGCAACCCATCTTGGGTTTTCAAGAGTCTCCAAACACCCAGCATCCCGTCCCACCTCCTTGCCTTTTCCTGTGTGGTCCCCTTCACCAGGGATGCCCTCTCTCCCTGAATCTCTGTGCTCACAGATCTTTTCCATCCTGCACATGAAACGTTCTCCACTCAGGAGCCATCATGGGCCTCTCCACCTCAATGGGATGCCTCCTGCAGCTGCTTAGCCCTTACTTTGATCACCTCACTCGTTCATTTATGTGACGCACAGCTAAGGAACATCTAACTGTTCTGGGCAGGGAAGATGCAGAGAGGATAAACACTCAAGCCCCAGAGGCATCAATCTGGTTGAAATGTGCTTTCCCCATAGATACAATAGCTGTTAAAAAAAAAAAAAAATCCCTTCTTTCACTAAAATTATCCTCGATATTTCTCGCTGAGGAAAACCAGCCAGGAAATGGGCGCTTCCTGTTTTCATTAAATAAAGGCTTTAAAACATCTGTTGTTTCTGGTGACAGCAGTCGTCTGTGACTCCAAGGGCTCCAAACGCCCCCGGATAACACGGCAAATCTCTAGCCATGGCTCTCCTGACGGCTTTATCCTCACTGGCTTCCATCAGCCTTGGAAAATGTACTGCGGTTGTGTCTTGGGGGTGGGGGGGTGGTTGGCAAGCCTGTTTTAATCTGTTCTGTCCTTTGTCTTTTCAAGAGAGGAAGGTAATGAGAGTTTCTCCCCCTGACAGATGGGGAAACTGAGGGACGCAGAGTTTCTTTTCCTGCAGCAGCTGCAAACGAATCTGACCAGGCTTGTAGGACCCTAGATGCGGTCCAGGTGGGGCCCTTCGCTCTGGCCAGCCTCACGGTTGTCCTGGGAACTTTCACAAACATTCTCACTGTAGGCAGAGACAGTCCTCCCAAGGGTTAGGGTGGGGGCTTCCCAGGTCGAGCGAGTGGTAAAGAACCCACCTGCCAATGCAGGAGGCATAAGAGACGTGGGTTTGATCCCTGGGTGGGGAAGAGCCCCTGGAGGAGGGTGCAACAGCCCACTCCAGCATTTTTGCCTGGAGAGTCCTATGGACAGAGGAGTCTGGCAGGCTACAGCCCATGGGGTCACAAAGAGTTGGAGACGACTGAGCGACTTAGCACGCCCACACGTGACCCTGACCTGAGAAACTGGTGACCGTGGCTGCCTTTGTGGTGGGGACTGCGGGTCGGGGGCTGCCATGGGGGCACCTTCACCCTGTCTGTGCTTTTGAACCTGTTGAATTTGGCTCCATAAATCACCTAGCCTAAAATACCCAAATAAATCAAAACCCATACCTGCTGCTCTCCTCAGGCCCTGCGTCCCACCCTTGCCTCACAGGAGTTGCTGAGTCGACAGGTGAAGAGGTTCAACACTCTCACTAGTATCGCCAGTAACCCTGCTATGCGCCTCACACATGCATGTCTAACTTCCCCATTGTTCAAATAGGGAAATTGAGGCCCGGGGCAGTGATGTATGGGAGGTCTTATGGGAAGGAGCAGCAGGGGCTGGATGAGAACCCACTTCCCTCCAGTAAGCCCCCTCCTTCCAGCACAGTTCCAGCTTCTAAATCCACATCCCAGAGTGAGCCCGGGGCAGACAGAAGGTCACCACAGGATGTGTTGACTGAGGGTACGCCTCCCTCAGTAGCTTGCTAGTGGCAGAGCTGGGGTTGGGATCAGGCCCCCTTCCTCCAGCGCGGTCTGATCGTGCTCCCAGCCCTGCTGGGTGGACAGCATGCATGTGTGCATGCTAAGTAGCTTCAGCTGCACTCGACTTTTTGCGACCTCATGGACTGTAGCCCGCCAGGCTCCTCTGTCCATGGGATTGCCCAGGCAAGAATACCGGAGTGGGTTGCATGCCCTCCTCCAGGGGATCTTCTCAAACCTAGGGATCGAACCTGAGTCTCTTATAGCTCCTGCGTTGGCAGGTGGGTTCTTTACCACTGGCGTCAACCTGGGAAGCCCACACCCCCTCCCAGAGTCTGCGCCTGAAGCCAGCTTCTCTGGATATTCTTTGTGTCAACAGAAAACAGTAGGGACCCCGCTCAGCCCTCTCAGGCCCTCTCTCCTCTTCTTACCCTGCTGACTCACAGCTACCTGCCCTCTCATTTTTGTGGCCCCCAGGAGGAGACTCCGGACAGGAAGGCAGGAAATCTGGATTCACTCAGCGAGACTGTGGGCACCTCACTGGCCCTGCTTGGGTCTCCGTGTTTGCTTTTGCAAACTGGGAGTGTGGGAAGGTGTTTGGACTAGGTCAGCCATTCAGACCTTGAGTCTTGCCCCTTTAGTGGATTGTGAAATCAGTTTTGTGGGTGGTGACCAGTGTTTAAAAAAAGAAAGGAAGAGATAGAAGAGAATAGAAAATACTTTAGTGCATCACATTACTTTGTGAGAGTGGTATTTCGGTTTAGTGTGTGTGTTTGCTGAGTCCTGACATAAAATGCATTTCTCATCACTGGGGGTCATGACCAGAAAACAGCATATTGTGTGTGCAATGCTGCTTTCCACCCTACTTCAGTGTGATGAGGCAGGAGCTCGGGCATGGGTGCCAGAGGGGACTCTGGGGACGGGAAGGCCCGAGGAGCTGCAGGCCAGCTTTGCGCACTGTGCATCTCAGTTGCCTGTAAGGGTATAACACATCACAGCAAAGCCTGATCCCATTAGCAGCTGGTAACGAACAGGCATTCTACCAGGGAGACTGGTAAGTGGCCGTGTGTCCAGGGAGAGATACAGGCTGAAGGCAAATGCATAGGGCTCTGGTGCCAAGCCCCAGAGGCACTAACTGCCTTTGCTATTTTAGGCTCTCAGTGGGAGGAAGGAGGCATGTGTGTGTGTGTTCAGAATACTATTATTATCTCCAGTCTTTGGATGAGGAAATGGAGGCTCAGAGACATTATGTAACTGGCTCAAGGTCACACAGCTGAGGGACTCAGAATCCCAGGTCTCTCTGATGCCCAAACTCACAGTTTTGACCCATCTCCCTGTTGCCTAAATGTGGAAGCCCATGTCTGTGACCCTCAGATTTCACTTGGTCTTTGGAATGCAGAGTCTTACAACACTGTGGCCAGGAGCTTCACTTGAAAGAAAGAGGCTCCAAGAAGAGCAGGGAACAGCCAGAGGCCCCCCCGAGGGTGGTGACAGGCTAAGTGGGGTACCCTTAAGTTACCCTCAGTGGGGGAAGGTGGCCCCGAGACAGGCTGGAACCTGGGACCCTTTGCCGCAGGGTTAGCACCTGGGCAGTCATCTCCTCAAGCAACAGGATATAAAGAAACCATAAGGGGACTTCCCTGGTGGTCCAGTGGTTAAGAATTTGCCTGCCAATGCAGGGCACACTGGTTCAATCCCTGGTCCAGGAAGATTCCACATGCCATGGGAGCATTAAGCCCGTGTGCCACAACTACTGAGCCCACATGCCTAGAGCCCGCGCTCCACAATGAGAGAAGCCACCACAAGGAGAAGCCTGCACGCCACCGCTAGAGAGGAGCCTGCATGTAGCAATGAAGAGCCAGGGCAGCCAAAAATAAATGAAACAAAAAGAAACTATAAGGGACAACAAATGACTGCATGCGTGCCCATCTGGGGCAAATTATAGACAACAAGACACAAAAAAGACCAAAAGAACCCGATTGCCACTTGGAAGAGTTGGGGGCAAAAGCAGGGTACTGCGCATGCCCCCGTTCAGAACACCTCCGAAGAGGTGGGCAGACCCCCTAATGGATCCTGTTACTTGTTCTTGCTCCCCTCTGCTGTAGCAGGGGCCCCAATAAAGCCTTGCCTGAATGTCTTGTCTGGCCTTGTATCAATTTCTATTGATTAAGGGGGCCGAGAACCCTGGTCACTGCCACTCCCAAGGGCCATCACCAAATCCCACAATCAAAGCCCATCTGGGCCCAGCGGCAGGCAGCGGGGTTAGTCCTCAAGGAAGCCGAGGCTGCCCCCTCCTGGGTCCTGCCCCCACTCCCAGCTCCCAGGGGGAGTGAGTGCGCTCTGCCTGCCCACAGTGGTGTGTTAGTGATTCAAGGTCGCTCTCTCCTCTTCTCACTCCCCCTTTTCAGCCTGAGCAGCCCGACTGATCACGCACGTCCCATCTTCCCCCAACCCCGCAAATCCCCAGCTGAATTCAGATTCAGCTAAAGGAGACTGAAGACCCACTGTCAGCCGAGCACCCCAATAGGTGCACTTGTTGCATCACTTTCCTCGGCCTTTGTGGGGAGGGGTACTGTCATCCCCCTCCTTCCCTTCGGCTTGAGAATGTGACCTTCAGTTAACTTTCCCGCTCTGTTGCCCTGGAAACCTGACGAGGGCGGACTGCCCGCTGCATCATGAGGAAAAACTAACTGGGAACCTTGGTCTGCATGCAGAGAACTCCAAACTGCTGACGGGGATGCCCACGTTTGCGGTCTTCCTGAGTGCAGTGACCTTTGTTAGTGGGCGTCTCCTTTGCAGGGACCCTGGAATTGGGGCCTGTGGATTTTTGACAGGAAATCCTGACTCCTCTGAGGCTTCCAGGGCAGGGCGGCCCCCATGGCTGTCCCTGGAGCCCCGTAGAGAAGGTCTCTGGGTGATCGGGTGGACGGTTCCAGGACAGACCCCACAGCAGAGCGATGCTGCCTGCAAGGCTGCAGGCTGTGCCCTGGGGCCCAAGCACACAAGCGTGGCTTCGCTGGTCTCAGTAGTCTGAAAGTGTAGGAGAAGGTAGAGAGGAGACCCAGTGGGCCTTGCAGGGACATCGAGGCTCAGAGGGGGGAGGTGGTGTATGCCAGGTCACCTGGCAGCAGGCTGGATGCCCAGCCTCGCCCCTTCCCTGGGGTGCTACGGTGGGGCACCTACCTCGGGCCGCACGGGATCCTCGATGCCCACCACACAGATGCAGGTGAGCTCGTTGAGGATGTCATTCTCGTTGTCCCAGTCGGGCTCGGGGCTGCTGGGGAAGTCGCGGTAAGCCACGCAGATGGTACGGAGCCCGTCACAGGCCATGGGCTCGATCACCTTCTTCACCATCTCGTCCCGGTCGCGGGGCCGGAAGACCCGAGGCTCACCTGCCCCGTTGAGGATTTTGCAGCACCTGGAGGAGGCAGGAGTGAGGGTCAGTCAGGTGCAGCCAAGGGCCCGAGGACCGTCTTGCCGATGGGCTGGGAGCTCACCCCCACACCCCAAGTGACGCCCCGCACTGGCCAGGGTTGGTCATCCAGGGCCCGTCCAGTCCATCTCCCATAACGCTTGGGATGGTCCTGGCCACTGGGCCCCAGGCAGGTTTGAAATCAGCTGCTGCTGCTTGCTGCTTCAGTCGTGTCTGACTCTGTGCAACCCTATCGACTGTAGCCCGTGAGGCGCCTCTGTCCGTGGGCTTCTTCAGGCAAGACTACTGGAGTGGGTTGCCATGCCTTCCTCCAGGGGAACTTCCCAACCCAAGAATTGAACTGGGGTCTCCTGCATTGCAGGCGGATTCTTTCCCAGCTGAGCTACCAGGGAAGAACTTGAAATCAGGACCAACTAAAAAGAAATCAGGTGGCCTGGTTGCTATATCTGCCCTCAGGCCATCCACCAACAGCCTATCTACTTTGTTTCATTTTCACAAGATTTCATCTGAAAAGGTAGTTTCATAGCTAAAATGGTTTTCAGAGGGCATAAAACCTAGGCGAGGGGTTTCTGACCCCACCGGTCATATCAAGATGGCTCGGGGGAGCACTGAACAAATCCCCACCTTCGAGCCTCACATCAGAGGTTCCAATTCAGTTTGTCTTAGGCGAGTCAGGGAATCCGCGTTCGTTTGTTTGTTTAGAAATCTCCTTGGGGCTATTCTAATGTGTAACAAGGGTTGATTCCCCTTCAAGGTACAAATGGGAAAACTGGGGTGCAGCGAGGGGGCCTGACTTGCTTAGTTCTCTGAGTTTATTTCTGGCACCTGGAGCTAACAATGAAAATCGTGTTGTCAACCAACTCCACGCTCAGAGAAGTGACAGGAGGGGGCGCCAACGGTGATAAGCAGGAGAATTTCCTGATGAGACAGTGACTTAGAGGGGGAAGAGGAAGGACTCTCTGCATGAACATTTAAGAGATTGTTCAGTTGCTCAATCGAGTCCGACTCTTTGCGACCCCATGGATTGCAGCATGCCAGGCTTCCCTGTCCCCCACGATCTCCCAGACCTTGCTCAAACAGGTCCATTAAGTCGATAATGCCCTCCAACCCTCTCATCCTCTGTCGCCCCGTTCTCCTCCTGCCCTCTATCTTTCCCAGCACCAGTGCCTTTTCCATTTAAGAGGAAACAGCAGCAAAAGCCCTGGGCGAGAGATTGCTCAGGTGGTCTTGGGGCTGGGATGCTGGGCAGGGCCCTCCCGAGACCCCGGGCGCCCCCCTGCCCCGCCCCCAGCCCCGTGCCCGGCCTGCGCCAGCCCGCTGCGTAGACCGCGGCTCCCTTACTCACTTCTTGAGCACGATCTCCGAAGCGCCCTTGCTATACATGCGGAAGCTCTCGTCCGGCAGCTTGATGACGGTGCTCATGGACTTGCGCACGGAGTTGAAGGTGTAGACTTTGTACAGCTTCTCCTCGGGCATCTGAGCGCGCACTGGCTCGTAGTCCTGCTTCAGGTCCAGCACGAAACCCAGCAGGCCGCACTCCGTCTTGTTGCCCACCTGCCGGGGCAGGGCGCCGTCCTTCTCCGGGGGCTGCGGGGAGAGGCGGGGGGGCTCACTGGGACGGCCACCTGGGCGCTGCAGGGCGGCGGGGCTGCGTGCGGCTGCTGCCACCGGCTCCCGCGCTCTCCGGCCTCTGCGTCCCAGGCCCAGCCTGGGCTCTTGGATGATGGGAATTAACCAAGATCGGCTTTTTAAGACTTCAAGCATAAACTGGTGACAGAATTAAAAAAAAAAAAATGTGCGCAGACTACCCAGCTCTGCAGAACTTGAGGCCTTGTTCACTTCAGATATTTTTTTCTTTTCTTTTTTTTTTTTTTTTAAGAAGTCAAGCCTAACAGATCAAGTTGAATCCCCCATGTACCCCTCTGCATAACCCACTCCTTGTCCCACAAGGAGACTCTCACTTAAATTTGGTATTCATCCTCTGTGCTTTAACTTTTTGTTTCAAGATTCATGCCAGATTCTCAGGTGACAAGAAATAATACAGACAGGTGTCACATGCCCTTCATCCCCAAGTGCTCGCTTCCTGAGCGACTGAACCACAAGAACACAACCAAGGTGTTGACGATGACACAACTGACCCGGCCGGATTCAGATCTCACCAGTTTTAAAGCACTTCTATGTGTGTTTAGGTCTGAACAATGGCATCACGTGTAGATCCCTGTGACAACCATCATCAAGGTACACCACTGTTCATCACAACACTCCCCTGTGCCATTGTGTGTGTGTGTGTGTGTGTGTGTGTGTGTGTGTGTTTGAGATAACCATTGTAAAAATTTTAGTGTCTTTTTCTATGTGTACATAAATTTTAATAAAATTTAAATTTTACTGTCTATGGTTTGTTTTCCTCATTTATTATAATTAATTTTTATTGGAATATAGTTGCTTAACAATGCTGTTAATTTCTGCGGGACAGCAAAGTGAATCAGCTATATGTATAGATGTTATTGCTGTTTAGCTGCTAAGTCCTGTCTGACTCCTTGTGACCCCATGAACTGCAGCCTGCCAGGCTTCTCCGCCCATGGGCTTTCCCAGCAAGAATACTGGAGTGGGTTGCCGTTTCCTCCTCCAGGGGATCTTTCGTATGCGCACGTCCCCTCTTGTTTGTACCCCCTTCGCATTCAGGTCACCACAGAGCACCGAGTGGGGTTCCCTGTGCTGCACGGTAGGTTCTCATCGGGTACCTATTTTGTGCGTAGATCAACAGCATGGGTATGTCAGTCCCAGTCTCCCAACTCTTCCCACTCCCCGCCCCCTTGGTGCCCACATATTTGTTTTCTACGTCTGTCTCTATTCCTGCTTTGCAAATAAGATCATCGACACCATCTTTCCAGAGTCCACATGTCTGCATTAACATATGTTTTCTGGCTCACTTCCCGTGCTGCCCTTTTGCGACTGTGCTCATCTCTCTCCCTTCCCCCTCCCTGCCCCCTGGCCACTCCTAACCTGTGCTCCAGCTCTGTGATTCTGCCACATTGTGCAAGTTATATAGATGGAATGGTACAGTATGTAACTTCAGAGACTGGCTGCTTTTCACTCAGCACAGTCCCCCAGTTATTCATGCAAGTTGCTGCATGCATCAGCAATGTGTTCCTTTTCATGGCTGGGTGGTATTCTATGTTCTGAATGTAACATCCTTTGTGACTTCAGCTGAGGTTGAACCAAATGCAACTGCTAATGTGTCACAGTGGCCAATCGTTGGAAATTTCATGTAGTTTAACTTACTGTCTGTATGTGGGTTCTGTTTTACAAGTTGCAAAGGTCAGGTAAGGAGGCTATACACATTCTTCTGTAACTTGCTTCATTCTCATATACATTCAGTTTTTGAGTTATCCCCATTTAGGGCACTAGTTTGTTCTTTTTTTAAAAATTGGAATATAATTGTTTTACAATGTTGTGTTAGTTTCTGCCATATATGAACTGAATCAGCTATATGCATACATATATCCCCACTCTCTTGAACTGCCCCCCCCCACACCCCCATCCCACCCCTCTTGGTCATCATGGAGCACCGAGTTAGGCTCTCCATGCTACATAGCAGCTTCTCACTAGCTATTTATTCTACATATAGCAGTGGACATATGTGGATGGATCTAGAGCCTGCCATACAGGGTAAATCAGAAAGAGAAAAACAAATATCATATATTAACGCATGTATGTGGAATCTAGAAAAATGGTACCAGTGAAGTTACCTGCAGGGCAGGAACAGAGACACAGACCTGGAGAAGGGACATGTGGAAACAGTGGGGGAAGAGGAGGGTGGGATGAACTGGGGGTTTGCTCCTTCCTAACTGGGCTGCATGGACACTGCAACCTCTGCCCTGAGCCTCAGTGAAACCACCGACCACATCTCCCCAGTGCCTCCCACTTCCTCACGAGGCTGCTGGGACACAGTCTGTTGTTTCTCCACCCTGTCCCCGCAGCCCTGCCGCTCCTGTTCCTTGCCCTGCTAGGCAAACTGCCCTCACCCTTTAAGGACCAGCACAGAATCTCCTTGTCTTTGAAAATGACTTTGTCACCCTCTGAGTAGGAGCTGTATTCTTTCATCCCCTGCCCAGGTTCTCAGGGCCAGCATAGAGCCCGGCACCCAGTATGTATTTACTCGTTGTTTGCAAGATGGCTCAATGCAGACCAGTCTTGGGGGTGGGGGGGTGAGAGGCACAGGTGAATAGGTACGCACAAGAGGCTGCATATGAGTGCTGATGGTAGGATTAGCAGGTGGCTGTGGGAAGTTCACATTGCAGGTGGGCTCAGCTCCCACAGCCTCCCCCTCCCCCGCCCCCTGCCACACACGCAGACCACCTGTATAACCCAGGTGGAGGTGGCTTTAGGAGCACTAAGAGCAGTCAGGGATAAACGCAGACCCCAGAGAGACACTGAAGAGGAACCACGTCTATGAACATTCTGTGTCCCCTCTCCCACCCCACGGGTGGGTCTCTGTGGGTCTCAGACCAGCCTCGCACAGGAGCCCTCTGAACCCTCACCGTCAGCCTCCTTGGTGTTGCTCGTACGAGCGGCCCAGGTAAGAGGAAGGCAGACCCCAGAGGATGCTGGCACGGATGGGCTGGCTGTGCGGGGGGGGAAAGATGGCAACAGGACCTGTCCCTGGCCACCCTCCCACCCCTCCACAGTCAGGGCTCAGGCCCCGGGAGCAGACCTGAGGTGCTGCGGGTCACGGGCACTGATCTCACCATACATAGCCACAGACCCTAAGCTGTCATCCTCAGGGTCCCCGCCTGTAACATGGAAAGGCTGGAGTAAATGATTTCCAGCTGAGAAAAAAATCAACCCACTCCTTCAAGTGCACCGTGGGCCGTAGTGAAGGATGGTAGAACAAGGCAGAGCTGCGGGTTCCTCCGAGGGGCCTGGGGCCAGTGGGCCCAGCCAGAGAATACCCTCCTGCTCCATGCCACATCCGACTAGGTTCCAGCACTGCGGGCCTTGGAAGGCTCCCCACTCCCACACTCTGTGGATGTGACTTGAAAGCAGAAGAATCTGACAGCTCCCTCTTTCTGATGTTTGGGAAAAGAGACATTAAGCACTCTTCTTAGTCTCTGCAGCATGCGGTTATGTGTGCTTTGAAAATTTACATATTTATTTACTTTTTTTTTTTTACAATTTTATAATTAACCTTCTGGTGATTTCCAGAGTTTTATGTCTTTCACAACGGTTCCCCCCGCCCCTTGCTTATGAAAGAAGATGATGACACGGAGGACTGAAATAAAAATGGCTAATTATTTATTTGCCCAAGAGAGCTGAGCAGTTATGCCTGCAAACACACAGCATTTTATTACCCTCTGTGAAATATTTTAATTTTCCCCTAAAAGGATTTCAAACAATCCATGGCTGCAAATGGCAGAGCTGGCTCCTCCGTAATTCAATTTGTTCCCGTGAACTTGAGCTCTGAAATCGCCTACGTGTATTATTAAGAAGTAGGGACTTGCCCCTTTTTTCTTTTGGCTTTTTTTTTTTTTTTTTTTTTAAATCTCAACAACCCATAGGTTTTGTTATTACTGTGGACTTCCCAAGAGCCTTTGCTCTCCAGGGCTCTAAGTCTGTAAGAGAGTTAAGGCATTGGTTTTGGCAAGCCTGGGGGGAAGTGATTTGCTACCGGTCAAAGACCTCCTGCAAAGACTGGTCAAAGGCCTGGGGCTGACTCCAGTTGCTTCCATCCCCAGTGCAGTGCTGTTTCCTGCACATGTCCCTGTATGAGCACTAAGCCCTTTGGGGGTGCTGGGTGCAGCTAACTTTGGGTGAGCGTAACGTTGAGAGGGCAATTCATGCTCCTGTTTTGGGATGCTTGGGAGTGACTGGAGCTCAGAAACAAGGCATGATGACCCGAAGGGCAGCAAGTTATAAATAACATCTTCAAAAAGGAGATTTAAAAAAATACAGCGAGCAGGTACCACTTCACACCCGTGAGGACGCCGTTATCAAAAACAAAATAGGAAACAAGTGGTGGCAAGGATGTGGAGAAATTGGAACCCTTGTGCACTGTTGGTGGGAATGTAGAATGGTGCAGCTACTGTGGAAACCAGCATGGAGGTTCCTCCAAAATTAAACATGGAATTACCATACAATCCAGCAGTTTTACTTCTGGGTATATACCCAAAAAGAATTGAAAGCAGAGACTTGAGAAGATATTTGCATACCCACGTTCACAGCAGCATTGTTCATAGTAGCCAAAAGATGGAAGCAACCCAACTGTCCGTCAACAGATGAACAGATAAGGAAGATGTGATCTACACATACAGTGGAGGGTTATTCAGCCTTAAAAAACAAAGGAGATTCTGATACATGTTACAACATGGATGAACCTTGAGGACACTATGCTAAGTGAAATAAGCCAGACACAAAAGGACAGATACTGTGTGATTCCACTCATACGAGGTCCCTAGAGCAGTCAAATTCATCGAGACAGAAAGTAGCAGGGTGAGTCCCAGGGACAGGGGGAGAGGGAAGGGGAAGAGTTTAAAGGGAACAGAGTTGGAGAAGATGCTAAGTTCTGGATGTGGGTGGTGGGGATGGTT